ACTAGGTATTAGGGATATATTCTGGAGGCAGATACGTTCACTAACCTGCACATATATCAGTTGGTATTTAAAGTTATTTAATGTTTGCATTTTTGAAGCATATTTAAGCGAGTTTCTATGACCATGGTTTGTAAACATACGTGCGTTTATCATTCAGTAAGTACAGTTCGAGTTAGAATTGAATTCTGTAATAAATATTTATGACTTAACATGCATACAACGTGTATAATATATTTGTGTATACACACTGTGTACATAACTCAGAATATTTTTGATATCATATATCGGCTTCTCTCAGCTTGTTGTTTTTTGCTAAAAAAACGCACAACGTCTGGAATCAACTGTACGGTGGTTATACCCTGTGTATATTCAAGTAAACGTGTACAATAAGTTTGGATTTTTAAATTGTAAATATCATCAATATTTAAGTCATCAAATGAATATTGTCCAATTATCACATACAACCACAAAGAAAATCCATCGCACCGCAAAAAATCCCACATCAGAAATGATCGCACTTACAGTGATAATGCATCGCAACAAATGTAAAAACGAATCGCTTTCAATAACTTTATTCTAAATTCTTTTGCTTTAATAACACATTTTTTTTTTACTTTAATCGTGTTTTTGTACATTGTAAAGTCATATTCAAATGAAATTATGTTAAAAAATACATTCAAATCAATTATTTTGTATTTTCAAAACGTAAACAAACACAGTTTTTCCCATCATCCTTTACTCTCGCATATGACAGAGAAAATGAACTATCTGGATTCGCACTTCATATACACTGAGTACTATCGCCGATAATTACCTTAACCTCCTTTTAAAATGTGAACAGAGGTTTCGTTGTATCTTATCGAGCCAAACTAAGAGAAAAGGGGGGGGGGGTAGAATCGAAAAAAATCAATCGTCATTGAGGGAATTATCTTCTATAAGGAAGCGAATTACGATTGCAGTCATGCTGACCTATTTGTAGATCTTGTCTAGGGGAGTATATTTGATGTTTCAACTTACTCTTGATCTATTATAGATGTCATAAAGGCAAACTGGCCAATGAACAAAATTTTCTATAATCAACTGACGATTTGGCCCGATTTACTTATTTGTAGAATTGTTTTTGCTGTTTAAAATGTCTCTCTATTTACAATTTTCTTAAACTAAAATGCAAAACCGTCATTGAAAGCCGTGTGACTTATTTGTAGATCTAGCTGACCCTTTTTGCTGTTAAAAGTTTCTTTATCAATCCCAATTTTTATGACAATTGTTGACAATTGTCAAAAACGCAAAATTAGTTAAATCTTTATTGAAAAACTACAACTCTATTTAAAGAATGACTGTAATATTTTTTCTGTCTATGAAGAAATAACATAAGTTTTTTAAGTTATTTCGAATAGACAGAAAAATGTTTTACAGTCTTTCCTTATAGTTTAATTCTAAATTCCATTTTTAAGGAATAAATTATGAAAAAAAAACGTTGAAAATTTTGTCTATGAGCTGATAGACAAAACACTTTCAGCCAATCAGAAGACGTGTTACATCCAAAATTAAATTATAAGTAATTGACTTTCAAATGTACGATTTCGGTTATATTGACTTAATTGCAGATCTTGTATTGATGATAAGCTTTGTTGTTTACATTTTCTCTCTGTCTTTTATAGATTTTGCAACAATTACAAAAAATATGATCATTAAAATCGTCATTGAACTTTTCTGATCGGGTTCCATTAATATATCCTCCAGAACTAGAAATTAAAGAAACAACAGACACGGCTTCCGCCGCAGTATTTTAGACTTATACCTCGAATTTGACATAAGCAGTCATCTCAGTACCATAATCCATGACAAACGAGACGATTTTGATTTTGAAATTATCAATTTCCCCCACCTTAGTAGCAATATACCAGCTTCACCTGCATATGGGATATACATTTCCCAACTCATTCGGTATTTAAGAGCTTGCAGCTGCTTCTCAGACTTTATAAAACGTCCTTTTTCTAAAAAAGTTCATCGGAAGATACCAAGACCTTGTTGATAAACATTCCGTATCAACTTCACAAATAATACATGATGGCCTTGAAGTATAGATTCTAGGTACTGACGTTGTTTATTATCTTAATTACGTGTTATAGTGTTCTTTTATGTGTCTTTGTGAATTATTAACCTTTACTGTGTAGTCCATTTTTGGTAATATATTTTTGGCGTGGCTCGGTACCTATGCATCCCGCCATTGTGTTGTTGTGCTGTGGCAATTTTTTGTATTCTTGTCTTTCATTTTAGCATATGTACTTTGTCTATTTGCCATTTTGTTTTTTTTTTTGTTGACATATTTGTTTGTTTTTATAGTGATTTATATTATAACACAATGTTGACTGCTGTACCCTTATTTTTGAACCCCCAAGGGTGACTGGGGAATAGAAGTATGGTCACCATTGGTCTTCCTCCGACCGGCAGTAAAACCCTTGCTAAAGTGGGGCGTCCGTTTGGCTGTGCGGGATGTACAAATTTGCAGCCACGTCCGGTCAGAATGGGGACGTTAAATCCGATGCCTCGTGTATTGAGAGTGTCAGGCTCTTTGCACGTTAAGAACCCTTGCCACAACTCCTTGAGGGGTCCGTAGGTGACCTGTTGCAAGGCTAAATTTCTGTCCCTATCCAATATACCCTCATTTCCCGTGGCAGTCAAAATTTCTCCGACCTTAATCCCGGAAGCCACTATTACAGAACCTACCTATTGTATTTATTGTTAACTTGTTCTCGTCCTGAATATGCATGAAATATTTGCCACTGGACGTTAAGCAACCAACAATCAATCAATCAATATTTTTGACATTTTTACCTAGTATGTCTGTTTGTTTTGTTCACACATTGTTGTCAATATAATGGAATTTTATGCGACTATCATACAAGTGAGAGGTTTAGCTAGCCATAAAACCAGATTTAATCCACCATTTTCTACATAAGGAAATGCCTGTACCAAGTCAGGAATATGGCAGTTGTTTTCCATTCGTTTGATGTGTTTGAGTTTTTGTTTTGCCATTTGATAAGGGACTTTCCGATTTGAATTTTCCTTGGTGTTCGGTATTTTTTGTTATTTTACTTTTTTCTATTATGATTGAACTGCTGATTTTGATCATTTAACTTCTGTGTAGATCCTATTTTGCTATTGACAGTTTCTCTCTATCTACTTAGTTTATCCGAAGACACGAAATTGGTCAAAATTTTTTTTTCTGACATTACACTAGACTAAGTCATTTTTGGGGCCCTTTATAGCTTGCTGTTCGGTGTGAGCCAAGGCTCCATGTTGAAGGCCGTACTTTGACATATAATGGTTTACTTTTACAAATTGTGACTTGGATGGAGAGTTGTCTCATTGGCACTCATACCACATCTTCTTATATCTATTACCTAAAAAGGACAAATCAAAACAGGAGTTTACTAAACCATCCCAATCAAAACAAATCCATCCGAAATAATTCGTCATTGTATTTTGTTTGAACAGTCGAGCTATGATAATAATGATGAACCAAAGTTATATGAAAAAATTAACAAGTCAGCAGACGAAACAGCAAAGTGCTATCGAAACGAATGGAGAGGGCTGAAAAATTGATGAAAACCATATTTTGCATAAACTTTTCATAGAGACCTGTTTAAACCATCGTAAACACATCAAACTGTGTATTTTTAATGACTTTAATTTGTCTTATAAAAATTGCTTCATAAATTATCAAAATTTTTAAATGTTCACTTTCCAATCTTTCCCCGCTGATGACCTTTGTTTTGCGATATTTGGATATTTGATCCAAACAGGAATTTGTTTAAATGACGATTTTCCAGAATGGACTTAATAAGGATAAGGTGTATTGATTGATTGAGTAACGTCCAGTGGCAAATGTCACATGCATATTTAGTACCAAATCAAATAAACAAATTATTTAATACAACTGGTCGACCAGAATTGGTTGATGATTTCTTTCTTAACGTATAATAGCAGTTATTTCATGCATATTCAAGACGCAAAACTATTTAAAATTGATATAACAGGTAGGTTCTGCATGATTGGACAACAGGAAAGAAGGGCGGGGTATGTTTATGCCTTCCAAGGGAAAGCAGAAGTTAGCTGGAAAGACGAGACATTTTTCCTCACAACAGGCTACCAACGGACTCCTTCAAAAAGTTTTTCCAAGGAGTCTGCAACTTGAAGAGAACGTGACACCTTCGCTACGCGTGCACGTGGCACCGAACGTGGCTGCTTATAAACCACGTACAGCCAAACAAAAATCTCACTTTAGCAAGGGTTTACTGTCGAATGTGGGAAGTAGAGAGTTGGCAATATTTCTGTAACATATATAGGTAACCTAAGAGTTTGAATAAAAGGAGATATGATGTATTATAATAATTTGATTTGACAGCAAACCAACGACAAAGAACAATCAAGACATCTAGCGTCTACATAGTACAGTCTTTTGTAAAAGGTAGATGCTTATATAAGCTCCAAACCGCCCTATTTCAAAAAAGAGTAAGAAGTTAATTTATTTAAGATATGATAATAGGCACAATAAAATTTTGTATGGTTGGAAACAAACACAACTGTTTTTTTATAGTTTGTTCTTATGTTGTACTGTAGCACCACTCTCCCAGGTTAGGGGGAGGGTTTGGCGCGCAAGCAAACATGTTTAACCCAGCCACATTCTATATGTGCCTGTCGCAAGTCAGGAGCCTGTAGTTCAGTGGTTGTCGATGGTTCATGCCTGTCATATTTGTTTTTCGTAATTTGTTTTGTTTTAAATTATACCGTTAGTTTTCTCAATTGAATTGTTTCATATTTTTCATGTCGGGGCCTTGTATAGCCGACTATACGGTATGGGTTTTTCTCACTGTTGAAGGCCGTACGGTTAATAAGTTGCTATACATCCACTCCATAGAACTTTGTTGGAAAGTTGTCTCATTGGCAATCATACCACATCTCTTTATTTCTATATAAGTAAAAACAAAACAACAATGAGCAATACCAGTTCATAGAATTCTCGATGATACAACTTTATAAATCTATGTTAACAGTACAATAAAACAGGATCTTGTGCAATGCGTAGAACACTCAATGTACTGTGATATTTCCATTTATATTACACGATAATTATAAAAACTGTTGCTGTTTTTTTTTTAATAATAGAAAAACAAACGATATGGGATATCAATCCATGACACAAAATCAGTACATGCACAGCAAAAAAAAAAAAAAAAAACACACAAAAAGCAAAGGAACAGCAATATTGTTTTTACTGATCTACTGTCTTATTACGATCTATTATATATGATTATGTCAATTTATAAAACTAGGAAAGATAAGAGATTTTTGTAAGGGGCTTCTTAATTAAGACTCGTGACGAATGAGGAAATTAAAGGTTTTTGTTTCATGTAGTACATTGTATCTTAATTTAAGAATGATGATCAATCTTTGCCAAATAATCTCTATGCACGTTTTGAGCAAGCCACTCTTACCTAAATTAAATAATCTTGAAAATGTCACTTCTGGTCTAAGTACGATTTTATTCATTGATGTTTACAGGCAATCTTTTTAATTAAAAATGACCAAAAATCTGATTTATATAAAAAAAATTAAATAAAAAAATCAATTGAACTTGACAGAGAGCACTGTCATCACTTTGCATTTGCATGTCACGTAGCGTATCATAGTCAAAGTACATAATCAGAATTTAAATGAACATTAAAATTTTTTACCTGAAAGTTCTGAAGAATCTAATCTACTGGGTCTGTTTGATTGGGAGCTGTTTAAAAACAAGTTCTTGGAAGAGATTTGCATTTATGTTTATTTAAAATAGATATTGTTGACATTAAATTTTGAGTAAGAAAATTCAAATAAAGAAGCAATAAACAGTTGTTAATATAATGCAGATTCTCATTATGTTAAACATATTAATTCTCACTTAGAATTTGCATTGTGATTCTAAACAGTATTTATTTGGTACTACAACGATATTTTTATTCTTCATCCTAAAACGTTAATTGATGATCTATAATAGATAATAATTATGCTGATCTAGATAAAATAGAAAAAAAAAACCAACGGAAATGGGGTATCCATACATGACACAAAATCATTACATGCACAGCAAAACACACACAAACGTAAAGGAAAGAAGTTGATATCATGAATGTAGGCATTTATGTTTCTGTCGTATTGTCAGGAAATTTACTGCTGAAAATATAAAACATTTTCCATATCGATTAAATTTGTCACTGTAATTTAACACCAGTCACCTTACACAGGTCTAAATAAGTGTACGTATCATTATGATGATAGACAATATTCCAACAGTGCCTTTTTACAGACAAGTGCAACAAAGCCGTAGGATATTAATCGAAAAGAGTGTCACCGTCTTATATTAAATGTTCTGTCACATAAACATGCTGCCTTATCAAAATATGAAGATGTTTTATGATTGCCCATTCGACAACTTTCCAAAAGAGACCAACTCGACGGTATACATAAGACGTATATCGGTGTGTGCAAGATATATTACCAAACAGTTAGTCATACTTTCATCTTAAAGCATACAGTAAGTGCAAATGTAACTTTCCCTTAATGTGTAATAATGAATTCGTCTATTCTCGTTAAATAATTGTACAAAAGCTCGGCTTTCCTGTTCTTATTCACATTTTGTAAAATTAGAGGTCCAAAGTTAACGAAAGGACGATGAATCATCAAAACCCAAAATCTATAGCACATCGAAAAGCACTGAGATCACCCCCAGTTTTTGGTGGGGTTCGTGTTGCTCAGTCTATAGTATTCTATGCATGTTGTGTTTTAAAAGTACTGTTGTTTGTCTGTTAGTCTTTTTTTTTAGCCATGGCGTTGTCAGTTTATTTTAGACTTATGAGTTTGAATGTCCATTTGTATCTTTCGCCTCTCTTTTTCGACACTAATATATGTACATACATTAAAATACAATACCCAACATTTATTAATAGATTACTATATTAAGAATACAGACAGGTCGGAAAGGGAAACGTGCGGTTATAAGTTCCTATTATAAATAAAGATAATATATAAATCACTAACTGTAGACTATAATCATTCTGTTCATCTGCACACCATTCCTCAAATGCTTTACTGGCTATCTGCATGCTCTTCGTGTCTGTTTTTTTATAATACAATCTTATGATGTGCTCAGCAAAAACTTCAGGAAACATTAGAGATACCTAACAATTTAAAAAAGAACTGTGAGTGAAACATGTGAAATCCATAAAAAGATGTCTCCATCCCGCAAATTCGATTATCTTCCCTTTAGAATGTAAAACTCACAGAGTTCCAGTGAAAGAAACAACTGATAGCACGAACATCATTTTACATCAATTTTACATTCCAAATAACCATTGTCCAGTAAAAATGGCCAGCATTGAGAGGTAGATGTAAAAGCAATTTATAATTTAGTAATATGTAGTAAGATAAGCCTTGCTGGAACAAGATCGATATTATAAAAAAAGGAAGATGTGGTATGATTGCCAATGAGACAACTATCCACCAGAGTCCAAATGACACAGAAGTTAACAACTGTAGGTCACCGTACAGCCGTAAACAATGAGCAAACCAAAACCGCATAGTCACCTATAAAAGGCCCCGAAATGACAAATGTAAAACAATTCAAACGAGAAAACTAACGGACTGATTTATGTACAAAACAATGAACGAATAACAAATATGATACACAACAACAAACCACAGCCACTGAATTAAGGCTCCTGACTTGGGATAGACACATACAGAATGTGGCAGGGATAAACATTTTTGCGAGCGCCCAACCATCCCATAACCTGGGACAGTGGTGTAACAGCACAACATATGAACAAACTATAAAAATCAGTTGAAAAGGGCTCAACCGTAAAACTGGTAGTGTTTTATCTCATATCTTGAATATTATTATTATAGAAACCGTAAAAGTGGTAGTATTTTATCCCATATCTTGAATTTTATTATAGAAACCGTAAAAGTGGTAGTATTTTATCCCATTTCTTGAATATTATTATAGAAACCGTAAAAGTGGTAGTATTTTATCCCATATCTTGAATATTATTATAGAAACCGTAAAAGTGATAGTATTTTATCCCATATCTTGAATATTATTATAGAAACCGTAAAAGTGGTAGTATTTTATTCCATTTCTTGAATATTATTATAGAAACCGTAAAAGTGGTAGTATTTCTGTCACATGTCTTGAATATTATTATAGAAACCGTAAAAGTGGTAGTATGTTATCCCATATCTTGAATATAATTATAGAAACCGTAAAAGTGGTAGTATTTTATCCCATATCTTGAATATTATTATAGAAACCGTAAAAGTGGAAGTATTTTATCCCATGTCTTGAGTATTATTATAGAAACCGTAAAAGTGGTAGTATTTTATCCCATATCTTGAATTTTATTATAGAAACCGTAAAAGTGGTAGTATTTTATCCCATATCTTGAATATTATTATAGAAACCGTAAAAGTGGTAGTATTTTATCCCATATCTTGAATATTATTATAGAAACTGTAAAAGTGATAGTGTTTTATCCCATATCTTGAATACTATTATAGAAACCGTAAAAAATCTATATTGTCAGCAAATGCTAATATATAATCTATCGACTTTCTGAAGGACTTTTTGCTCTAAATTGACGTTTTTGGCACATTTCTATTTGATGTTTTTGTCTTTGAACATATATTTCTGCCTTTGAAAAGAAAATTATGACATACACGCATATACACTGTAACCAATGATACTAGGCAGTTCAAATTCTACAAAATAAAATTGCCAAATGTCTGACACAACCAATTGACGCCTTCCCAGAGTAATTACCATAATTTTTTTCGTACTCATTTCTGCATTCGTGTCAATTATATTACAGAATTTACAAATATTTCAATGTGATGATACTTTCAATCGTTTCCTTACAATGTATGGTTGATTTTTCCTCAAATAAATAATTTCTACAATTTTACAAATATTCATGCCTATTATTTTGAAACCTTAAGTAAAAAAACAGTAACTAAAACAGCAAACGGGGGTGTAATAAAACAGCTGTTTGCCAACTTACGCAAATATAGGAAGCCATACTTTTCAGATGTGCAATGGCAGTTCCTTGGAGTCTCTAGTTAGAAACTGGGGTTCCAACTTCACCAGTGAAAGTTGACTTGAAATATTGCTATTCAAGTTAAGTCCCTTGTTGTCTTAAAGTTTCTCATGTTTTTATGTAGTTATACATCTTTTTCCAATTTTTTTTTTAGGTTTTAGCTTTTGTGGTGAAGATAAATCCAGAAAAAGTAATTCCGCCGCACCAATTTTATTAAGAATGTAGTAAGGTGAGTTTAAAAAATCTAGAATTCAAAATTGATACTATTAATCATAAGAGCATTAGTTTAGGAACAAAATAAGCTAAAATATTGATAGGCTATGTGTTTAAACTAACTAACGACATTTTTAACACGTATTAAATTGTGGTTTACCATCTACATCGTCTGGTCTGCTTTGTACCGAACGTGACCTATTCCTGAATATGACTTTTTGCCGAGTGTGAATTCGCATTGCTATACGACGTGTCTCGGTATTTATATATCCAACATTCATGTATTTAGTTATGATGTTTCTTATGATGTTTCTTTTGTAAGTCCGGTTCGATATTTTGTTATGTCTTATGTTTGCTGTTGGAGACGACGTAGTTCGGTATTTACATATCCCGCTTTCGGGCATTTTGTTGTTACTTTCTTATACGTGTGGGTCCGGTGGGTCATTTTGTGCTGAGTTGTCGTCTGTTTATTTCGTTTGTGGTTTGAATTCTGTATTTTCGGTACATTTCAAATATGTCTTATTTGTCAGTATATAGACATAAAAAGATGTGGTATGATTGCCAATGAGACAACTCTCCATCCAAGTCACAATTTGTAAAATTAAACCATTATAGGTCAAAGTACGGCCTTCAACACGGAGCCTTGGCTCATACCGAACAGTAAGCTTTTTAAAAAACGAGAAACGATAAACACTTATGAACCACATCAACAAACGACAACCACTGAACATCAGGTTCCTGACTTAGGACAGGTGCAAACAAATGCTGTATAGTCGAGTTACTCGTGGTTCGTCTACAGTGTTTTTGTTTGATGTTGTTTAGTTTCATATGTGTTTACTGTTTGGTCTTGCATGATCTTGCCATATATTACAGTTATTTTATTTTTATTTTCTATATGTATGAAAAAGTTAGGATAAAAAATCAGCTATTTCATGTATATGATTTTGAGTTTAACGCAACTATATGCACATGATTTTTTTGTTTATACACAGTTTTGATTTAGAAGAAAAACCGACAACGTTAGAAAATACCAATAATAACAATATCACACTCAATTCCATTTTAATATTCTTGTCATAGTTAGAAAATACATAAAATAACACCATTACAAACTCATTCCCAATTTAATATTCTTGTACGTGTCTATAAATACAACAAATCTATTTTATTTTAGAAATTTACCTGTGATAATATAAACATCACAAAAAATACGTCACTTTTTGTGACGTTGATTCATTTATGTGACGCGGAGTTTATATTTCGTTTTAGGTGTCCTGGTGTGCCGTCGTAAATACATGGGAGGTGTCCGTTTTTATTCTGCGGTTTACATGTTGTAATGTATTATTATATTATTTATTTATGTATTTCTCTGTGCTGAAAGTTCTTGTGTTTGTTTGTACTGTATTCCTGCTGTCATTTTAGCGGTATTTTAACATTGCCATATAAGCGGGAGGTTTGGCTAGCCATAAAATCAGGTTCAGCCCACCATGTTTTCTTAAAATGTCCTGTACCAAGTCAGGAATATGGCAGTTGTTATCAGATAGTCTGTTTCTATGTACAGAATGTTGGCGTTTGCTTTTGTTGTAGTTCAGTGTTTCTGTTGTTCCGTTGTTTTCCTCTTATATTTGATGTGTTTCCCTCGGTTTTAGTTTCTTACCCGGATTTGTTTTCGCTTAATCGAATTATGACTATTGAACAGCGGTTTACTACTGTTGCCTTTATGGAACTCCTTTTCGTGATATTTGATTTTAAAAAAAAATGCGGGAAAAGACTAGATCGGACTTTTACCTTATATTTAATATTGACATTATTTGGGTCTCAAATCGTAAGAAAAGAAATCTAGAATATGCTTCAATTTTGGTAATAACCTTTTTATGTGCTATTGAGGTCTTCTATGAAAACAGTGGGTGATAGGGGGCAAAATATTTTACCCTGTATCGTAGGAAAAACCCCAAGGAGTACGAACATCTGACACAAATTCCTAAACCTCTGAGTCACCTGACTACATCCTTAAGTTTTTTTCATTTTGTAGAACTGGGACGATATCGCTATTTAAGGGCTGCTAGTCCTCGATGGTAGCATCAGCTAAATAGCGAGTGCTTCAGTTCTAACGTGATTTTTAATACTAGTATACCTTTTTAGATTCTCCTTTTATTCATTTTGAAATTATAAAATAATAAAATTTTCTTGATACTAGTATATTTTTTTTAGATTCTCTTTTTATTCATTATGAAATTATGACGAGACTGATGTTCACAATCCCTCATCCAAAGATGGCCTTAAAATGAATTCGCTATTTTTTTGTGTCACATTTGGCTCCTACAGCTCCAAATGTATTCAAGTAGTAATGCATTCAATGCATTCTGTATCATTTTTTTTGTTTCCTGATGAAGTAAATCTAGACTTGCGCGTCGTACACAACACATTTATAAAGTGTTTAATTAAAATAGCATTGCATTAAAATACGCGGCACCCTTTTAAGATCGCTTAGGAGTTAAAAACAATGGAATAACCAATTTTGTAATCGTTTATAAAGTTATAATACATTTTACGATTTGTTTCAGTTTGTAATAACATTTTGTTGCAAAAACAAGTGAAAAGACCTTTAAAGTTAGTAGCTTTTTTAAACTTTAAATGTTCTTGTTTATAAAAACTACGAACTCCTCGGTACAACAATTATTTAACTTGAAAGATATTGAGAAACAGTGTTTGTTGCCCACTGCTACTTTGTTAGACATGTATTATACGCGATGTATGAGACATAAATTATTCACAATTTATAACCACGTTGTTTGCAAAATTGAGGTCAATCAAATTCCTTTTCCTACGTGGACTTTTTAGTACATCTTTTTCCATATCGGGTCTATGGAATGATAATTATCATTAAATTACCTCCTATACCTTTCTGGGAATATAATTGGTTAAAAGCAACCGCGTGGAGACCGTGTATATTCCATATTGGGTTAGTAGGCGGGGCTTATTTCAATACACGGTTAGTAGTGATTATTCGTCCCTTTATAAAACAACACGGTGTTGGGGAAAAATCTTAAATGTTTCAACAGACAACGAAAATGATGATGAACGATAGAAATAAATTCATAAAACACATTTAAAGTTAACAAGTTGTTATTGTTGGCATTTGTTTTTGTATAGACTAATACTAACGGTATTGAAGACTTGATGACTTTGATAGGCCACTAGTCTAAATACCACATGTTAAGATAGTCGGTAAGATAAATTCGTTACATAGTGTGCTAGTGACCTAATATGATATATATGGGGTCAATAAATTCCATATGGGGATTCGAGCTTTGCTCTTACTCCATATGAAATTTACTGACCGTATTAGGTCACTAGCACAATATGTAACTGATATTATCTTTCAATGGCAAGACAGCACTTACATTTTCCATTTTTAAAAAATCTGCATTGTTTGGGTCATTCTTTGTATAGAATCGAACGTTGTCGATTGGGTTTCTCGTTTTGCTTCCGTAGTCTAGCAATACTATCTGTAAAAGAACATACAAGTACGAATTATATTATCTATCAAGGTAACAAACCCAATACCTCAAAAACCTTTTTAAATAATTTCATATTTTGATTTTAGACAAAGATTTAAAGAGGAAGTATCTACTAAAGTCGTGTTTTAAAAAACTAAAAGCCGTTGTATGCTGTTATTTAATAGATAGCAATACACAAAAATGTTTCATACCATTTTCATGACACTAATGACGTAATTTAAAGAAAAATCTTATATGTTCTTGATGTTTTAGCCCATGGTTCATTAATTATGTCATAATGTATACTCACATCACGAGCGATCGTTTAGACCTTCTTGAAGCACATGGTAACACGTACGATATAAGATATAATAACTTCAATTTCACTTCAGTATTCGAATTGAAATTATTTTTAATTATTTCTCTGACATTCTCTTGTTCTGGTAATTTTTATGAATCAATATTACAGTAGAATAGTTACACTTTTTGAGTATCGTGTATATATGTAAATCGATAAGGATTTATATTCGGAGTTGATAAAGCACGGAAGGGGTAATAAATAATCGGCATTGCTATTATATATTAATGTTTTTAATTATCTTCTGTAACCCCATTATAAGATGAATAAACAGTTAATCAATCTTCTAAATCATAAAAAGTTGGTTAAATGGATGCAGTACATATTTATACCAGTTGTTACAGTTTCTTATGATATTTTGCTTCGTCATTTCTACGCTTTATTATGTTTACCCTTTATGAGTGTGTTTCCGGTCTACTCAAATTTGTGTAAAGTGAATTCTTTTCCAACGAAATTAAATTTTTAGCCTATCCCATGATTTGAATTACAATATAATTGCTTATTTTATGATGATGATTTCTACTACACCCTCACAATCTCATTTATTTAGTTATGTTTTTATTATCGTAAATTAGTACATTAATCCCTTGTGCACGGTTTTTGCTTTTGCAATTTTGTTATCAATTTACTGGTAACACTGTTTCCTTGTATGTATCGTGGTCCTGGCATATCTTGCTAAAACTTCTAAACGATTTCTTTTCCAGTCGAACTTGTGAAAGCTGTCGGTTCCACGATTTCATGTTGTTTAATCATAGAATGAAATCGATAAACAAATTGCCTGTGCATTGATTAGGGTTTATTCAAACTAAGGTGTTAGTTAAACCAGTATAAAATACAGTATCAAACCATTGACTAATTCGCAGTATACCAATAAACTAACAAACAATAAAATGTACTATGTAATTTAAAGTTATAGTTTCGCTTTATTGTTTAAAATGTGTTAAGTTCAAATACGTACGTCAATGTACAGGTCCGCTTTCTCTAACTGTCCATTGGTATTTTCAATTACGTATGTAATTATTTCTTTTTTTAAGTCTTCAACGACGAATTTTCCATCCTACATACAAAATAATTATGTATGAATATAGATAAATATATAATTTTTTATATTGAAAAAAGAAAACAAGAAAAATTGTATTACTAAATATCTCGTAAGTATGTTGTTAGAAATAAATGCATACAGTCACATACAAAGTACAACTGAATTAAATGTGTACGAAATTGACCTTTTTACTCGTAAATGGAATATATTTTCATTGGAGAATCAGTTTGATTTACGAAATGTTATTTAAAACGCATTAACTAGTACATTGTGAACATTCCTTTAATTGTAAATATTTTGAGAATGGTTCGTTATGATTCTTATTCATAAATATATGATCATTATGATTGATTAGTGTTAAACGTGCAGTGGCAAATATTTCATGCGTATCAGGACGAGGTCCAAATAATCAGAATATGCACCCTTCTTTGTATTATAACAACAGCCTCAGTCTGTTTTTTAACGTGATGTCCACAGTCCGAAAGTAGACTTGTCACCTTATTCGGATATATTATTCAGATTTCAATAGATATAGGAAGATGTGGTATGAGTGCCAATGAGACAACTCTCCTTCCAAATTACAACTTATAAAAGTAAACCATTATAGGTCAAGGTACGGCCTTCAACACGGAGCATTGGCTCACACCGAACAGCAAGCTATAAAGGGCCCCCAAAATTACTAGTGTAAAACCATTCAAACGGAAAAAACAACGGTCTAATCTATATAAAAACGAGAAACGAGAAACACGTATGAACTACATAAACAGACGACAACTACTGTAATCAGATTCCTGATTTAGGACAGGTGCAAATATTTGCAGCGGGATTACACGTTTTAATGGTACCAAACCTTCTCCCTTTTCTGAAACAATAGTATAACATCACAACATAGAAAAACACACTATAAAATATCAATTGGAAGGCTTAACTCAATCAAAAAACGTAAATTAACACACAATGAACGAATAAATTTGACCTGTGACACCTGAATAAAAAATTACAAGGGATAAATAATTTACTTCAAAAGTAAATAAACAGGTTTAAACAAAGTTAAAGTATGATAGTACTGTGAAATTTCAAACAATTTATAGAAAATCATCACTTTTGAAGAAACCTGCGTCATATTATACACAGGTAAATGAAAATAATTTTGTTGTTAAGTATACTTCGTCTTCTGTGTGTATAAAATCTTCCGTTTAGGAATACCAAGAAATTTCTTTAATATCAATAAAACTAATCTAACACTTGGTACATATGGGGTGAATATCAACAATAAAAATATACAATTAGTGCTAGATAAAACTTCCTGTACAGGTCCAAGAACAGCATCTAAGGAAAAATGAAATAATTTTAATGTTCATAGTACGAAGAAGTGAAAATTAGTTGTAATTAAATACCAAATAATCAAAGCTGGTATATAGACAAGATTCATGTTAAAATTAAATAACAAAAAAGCATTACAAATAGTATCAACAGGTCAAATTAAAAAGAAAGTACGATTTGAGAGTACTCGCAGTTACTGACAGCTAGTTAAAAGCCAAAACAATTAATAATAAAAAATCATGCATCAGAGACTCAAATCAACTAAAATACATCCCAGGGATTTAGTATTTTTACGTCATGAACAGTCAAAGAAGACATGACCTGTGCAATACCAAAAATAAATTTCAACTACATCAATTTGCAGTTTCAACAGACATTGAATAGGGGTTTATAAATATTGGATTACAAGATGTAACTATACATGTTTTCTCTCCTTCAGACTCTATATGTCCGCTATCAGTTTATCGATTCACATCTGTTTTATTTGGAGCCAAGTGTTCCCCATTTGTTTTCTTCTATTTGAATTTTGATTATGATGAATGATTAATGTACACTGTGACTTAATATTACATATATTACAAAATCATATTAACGAAAATAAATCAACTTATACATGGATGTTCTTGGAGATAATATTCGACATATTCGAAGTCTAAAGACGTACTTCCAAGGGGTATGACTGCTGTACAGTTACAAAATTATGATCTATGGATGATATGTCCCAGGTTGTTTTTTTTTATGCCAGCAAAAGTACTTAGTGGAAAAAAGAAGCTCTCATAATTCCAACTCTAACTAAAGATTACTTTCATCATACATAAGCAATCAAGCGAAATTGTTACCGGAGGGATATAAAGTAAAATTATGATCATTGAAAGGAGCCTACCAGAAACTTGTACGTGTAACAACTTATGAATACAGATTTGTAACTGAGAAAAAAATATCGTTGAAATTAAAATATAGAAGATATTCAGAAAGCATTTATAGTCTGGATACAAGATTCGCAACTTCGGAACTACCCAGATATATTTCAAAGTTTACGACATCAATCAACGAAACATAATCTTGAATACAGTTGGAATTGTACCTTGACGATGGAAAAATAAATCCGTTGTGTAGGTCTTTAAACAACGCACATATAACCGCTTCAGCGAATACCTTGATATTTGAACCAATAACGATACATTGTCAAGCCTAATTAAAATGAATGCCTATTGAAGACCACTTCATTCTTTACTAGAACGTACAGTCACTACCCTATGTCTGTTTAACTGAATTCCAGCAATCCGACAATATTTAAAGACTATTATTGAGAAATGTATAGTACCTGTCACAATATAACACGGAGACGGAATGCTACCCGAGACCATCTGTTTACATGGGGACAAGATAAAAGATTCACTGCATCTGTTTTCCATATAGGCGTTGACTCAACACGCGAATTAGACGTCAAAACCAAAAATGGAAAAGAAGAAAAGGCGTACTTTTGCTGTTTAGATGTTCAAGTGGGAAAAAGGTTCGTGGATAGGCATTTGTTAGTAAACGGACAATGAACCATTAACACCCTCTCATTTACTCCATGGAAGGTAGATAACGGTTTTACAGGAAACATTGAACATTAAAAGAAAACTTAACACACTCATCAGCCAATAAACTATCACAGATTCGAAGTGGGTCATTCAAAATTTCTAGATAATGTGGAAACGTGAATATCTCACACAACTCAGATCACTACATCGAAAAAAGTACTACACAAGGTGTAAAAATAAAAGTAGGTCTGGTGAAATCCTTCAGATGTTCCTCCTATCATTCCCATGTAACAATGGTATTATATTGTTACGATTGATATGTACAATAGTGGGACAATAGATAACTGCATAAAAAAAGTAATTAAAACAGTAGGACAGTGTCTAATAAAATTCATGCGTTTGTTTTAGCATCTTCCATAGTGATGAAAGCAATGCACATCAGAATCCGAGAGAGTGTTTTTCTAAAATTAAATGCATGTAAGTTACATATATACATATAATTCGTCTCAAATTCAGCCCAACAATGTTAGTTCATCAAATTTGCGTTAGCAAATGTTTGTTCTTCCCTCAGCGTGATTCGAACCCTTGCGTCTGTGACATCGTGGCAACACCGCCTGCACCGTGTCCAGTTCCCTAGACCACTCGATCTCTTAGGCTACATGAAAAATAGCTTTCGGTGGTCGATGTAATGCCTTTCATCGTCGGAAATATATATATAACTGAGTCGTGCCAGGCCCTGGAATTTTTCGCCTTTGGACCAGGTATGTCTGTTATCATGGTTATCAAAATAAGGAGATGTGGTATGATTGACAATGAGACAACTATCCACCAAAGTTCAAATGAATAAACTTATTTGTATAAAAGCTGAAAGTTTTACAAAGTGGTTAAAATGGACCCTTGAATGAATTGGGAATTACAAAAATAAACATAGGGTGGTAAGAGGGATCACATACCAAGATTACACAGGTTTTGTATAATCTAAATATCCTACAGTTTCAACCTAGACCTCTGATACATGTAGAAGTTTCAAAATTTTCCGTACAGACAATGCATTAGTTTGAATCTAAAAAACTATAGAGCAACCTATAGTTTTTCTATATATATGTTTTTTCTTACTTTTCAAAATGCATATAAAAGGAGGGTGACTGGGGTATAAAAATATGGTCCTTTTCCTACAATTACGCTTTTTTCAAAGATTGGCGCTTGTTTGGCTATTTTGAAAGTAATAATTTGCAACCACGTCCGGTTAAAATTGGAACGTACGTTAAAGCAGACACTTCATGTAAAGGGGGTGCAACATTCACAGATAGTTTAAGAACCCTTGCACAATCATCTGAGGAGTCTGTTGGTAGCCTGTTGCTCTGCTAAAGTTCTGCCCTTATCAAACACATCCTCATATCTAGTGGCAGTAGACATTCCAAGCCCTTCATTCTGGTCTATCTTACAGAACCTACCTATTGTATATAACTGCGTCTCGTCCTGAATATGTATGAAAGTTAAGCAAACAACAATCAATCAATCACATTTTATTGCTATTCACCTCATATTAAAATATAAGTAGTATTAATAAACGAGACAACCACGGTATCTTTACAAGTTATTAGATAAACAATCTCCCTTTTATTCCATCGTTTTAAATCTGTCAGTATTCTACACGGATTTACATATTTATTTGTATATGTTTTTCTTAAGTTTTATTCATACCTCAGTATCCTCCTCCCTCGGAGTTCTCTTGGGAGTTGTATCTCCAACGCATCTGTATAACTGTCGATGCAAAATTCTTTCTAATAAAGTTCTAGCCATCTCAAGTTCTGGTTTGGTAGACATGAGAATGACATGAAAGATACTATCGGTCAATTTGGTATATCCTTCGGGATCACTAATACATTGTGATAATGTAAGACAAGTCCTACAATAGTTTTGTAAAAAAGGAATGTTTCATTATTGGGAATGCGTCATGGGATGTACTTATCAATTATAGTTTATAACAAATAAATGTTTTAACTGTCCGATAAGCTGGACTAAAATACCTGGCAACATGGGTTGACTACAATACAGGGAATCAAGGAAGTTGATAATATAAATTTGGACTTTTTTCTGGTGTTTTATTTGATTCTTGAACATCAAAATATCATGCATATTTCCATTTCAGGATCAAACGATATAGTAAGTTTCATTTTGATAAATTGACTCATCTGTGAGGGGTAACGAATACAAAGTATGGGCTGGACAGGGCCAAAATATTCCAAGTTCAGTGGGGCGTTACTTATGGAAAAACTCATTGTACTGGTATATCCTACCAACATGCACTTCTGCTTAATTTTATTGGATCAAACAATGCACCAACTTCAATGTAGATATGATTAACCATGAAGGAGGAGTTTCGATGACAAAGTAGACGCTGGACAGGGCCATAATTTCTAAGCACGAAGAGGCATGAATGTGGGTAAAACTATGACCTGGAGATTCCTACCCACAGTAGGTTAAAGTTGTATTTAAAGATCTACAATCTACAATGTTCAAATTTATATTATCAACTTCCTTGATTCCCTGTATTGTAGTCAACCCATGATGCCGGGTATTTAAGTCATATGTAGAAAATTGTTTAAATCTAAATGGACTAAACACGTAATTAAGATGATAATCAACGTCCGTACCTCGAATCTATACTTCAAGACTATCATGTATTATTTGTGAAGTTGATACGGAATATTTATCAACAAGGTCTTGGTATCTTCCAATGAACTTTTGTAGAAAAAGGACGAGACGTTCTTTGTCATTATCCTGGTTCATCAACTTTCTGCTTAGACACTGGTGACGTTTTAAAAGTCTGAGTTGCAGCTGCAAGCTCTTGAATACAGAATGAGTTGGAAAATGTATATTTCATATGCAAGTGAAGTTGGTATATTGCTGCTAAGTTTGGGGAATTTATAATTTCAAAACTAAAATATTCTCGTTTGTTATTTTTTATGTTCGTGCTCATTTAAAAAAAAAATATCTCAAATCATATACCAAAACAATAAATTTATATGGAGAAAAATATTGTGAATTGTTTCTTTAAGACAGGTTTTCAATTTTTATGTGGTATGGTGGTATAAAGGGTGCAATAATCGGAGTTTTCGATAGAATTTATTTCAGAGAATGACCGAGACTTAAAATGTTCCAGAAGTTCTTTGGAGTTCTTAAGAATCCAAATTTGGTTAATTCCACTACGCGAATAAACAGTGTCACAGTATTTCTGTAATCCTTCTTTCACTGCGGACAAAATTTTGGTTAATTTAACGGAAAATTCCTAAGTAGAACATGCGGATGAGCCGGCAATGTACCGTTGTTTGTACGTTTATGCATTTATCGCATCCTTATCAAAAGTTGCGTTTTTATACATGGGATTGCCCGATTGTTCATTTATTCCTAATTCACTATAACATCTATACAACATCAAACTGTTAATTAAAAATCGAACGTTTTCCGTGAAACTTCAAAGAAATATTGCACAAATATCAAAGTTGTATACCTGCAATCACGGAACTGCTTGGGGGGGAAATTTCTATTTTTTTCTGACTTGCAAAAATAGTCAATTCTTAGTAAACTTTTCAAAAAAACGGAACGCCACCTCTTACAGTTCGCAACCCAGTTCTCACATATGGAACGTGCAAGCTTCAATATATTGGTGAAGAGTTTTTGTGATACACGGGCGTGTCTTTAGCGTTAAAATTACATTCCTTATGCAAACATATAATGTTACTTTTATAACTACTATCACTTTATATCACTTAAACATACACACTAATTTAACTTAAGTACTTTCATATCAATATGCAGAAGGAAAAAAAAACATGTTAATATGCATGATGACCGTTCTTGTTTTCAGCTATCTTTATAAAGCAAAGACCAATGGTGCGCGGCTTATGAACATGCAGAAAATATAAAATTCTCAAAAATTCTCAAAAATTATTTTTACGTGTATGTAAAATTATCAGACATTTATACACCTGTTTCATTCCTCAACCTGGAAAAATTTGTTCAATAGATGCTGTATTGTTTAGTTAAATACAGTGTTCAGATATATAAACCAAGATAACCTTCGGGGGGTACACAAGAACTAATCTAGTTTACAGAAAGTTAAAAATGCAGTCCGACCTACAACTCGGGACATCATTTAAAAAAGATGAAATTTTACAAAATCACAAATCTGTCCTTCTTTCCTTTGGTATTAACTTCAAAGAAAACGAAGAAAATCTACCGTCATTATACTGGATACCAAAATTTCACAAAACTTCGTAAAAGAAACGATGCATAGCTGGATCATCTAGATGTTCGACTAAACATATTTCTAAAGTGCTGACTACCATTCTTTCTACAGTAAAAGATGACCTTCAAAAATATTGTGATGAGATATATTCAACCAGTGGTGTCAATCAGATATGGAGTCTGAAACATTCTAAAGATCTACTGCTAAATCTTAGATCACAATCTCTGAAATTTTGCAGCAACATTAAGACGTTTGATTTTTTCTACGCTTTACACCACTATTCTCCATACTCAATTGAAAGATCGACTTCACCATCTAATTAAACAGAGCTTTTTCTATAAAAATTGGAATCGTAGATATAAATTTCTTGTTTTGGGTTATAATAATTTTTATTTTGTGAAGAACCACACTGAAAATACCAAGAAGATGATATTATCAAAATGCTAGACTTTTTAATCGACAATATATATTTTGAGTTTGGAGGATTGATATTTCAACAGACATTCGGTATTCCACTGGGTACTAATTGTGCACCCCTTCTAGCCGACTTGTTTTTGTACTCATATGAAGCAGAATTCATTCAGAATCTTCTAAAAGACAAAAAGAAAAAGCACCTTGCAAAATTCTTTAATTTTACTTTCAGATATATTGATGATGTCCCATCACTGACTAACCAATATTTCAGTCAGTACTTGCATCTCATATATCCCAGTGAACTTGAAATTAAGGATACTACTGATACTAGAAAGACTGCTTCATACCTTGATCTTTTCCTCAGTATTGACACAGATGGACGACTGCACACTAAAATCTAATGACAACGGGATGATTTCAACTTCCCAATTATAAATTTCCCATTTCTCAGCAGTAACATATCCTCCGCCCCGTCGTATGGTGTTTACATATCTCAATTGATACGTTATGCTCGTGGATGTTCACACTATACGGACTTCATATACAGGAGTGTGCTCCTTACGCAGAAACTGCTCCAACAGAGTTATGAGGAGGGAAGATTAAAAATGACACTCCGTCAATTTTATGGACACCATCACGAATATTGGTTGATCTATACGATGTGTTTGTGTCTAAACTAACTAACGACATTCTTACCACGTCTTAGATGATTGTGGTTTAACATCTATGTCGTCTGTCTTCTAAGTACCGAACGTGACCTATTCCCGAATATGACTGTTTTGCCGAGTGTGAATTTGCATTGCTATACAACGTGTCTTGGTATTTATACATCCAACATTCGTGTGTTTATTTATGATGTTTCTGTTGTGGTTTCGGTTAGATATTGTGTTATGTTTTACCGTTTGTGTTTGAATTCTGTAATTTCGGTACATTTTGCATATGTCTTATTTGTCAGTATAGTCGATTTAATTTCCATTTTCCATGGATAAAGTATTGTGTTTGTCCTAATAATGCGGTTTACATGTTGTAACTACTATTATATTATTTATTTGTGGGTTTCTCTTTGCTGAGTGTTCTTGCGTTTGTTTGTGCTGTATTTCTGTCACGTAGTGTTGTCATTTTAGCGATATTTTTTAACATCGCCATATAAGCGGGAGGTTTGCAAGCCATAAAACAAGGTTCAACCCACATTTTTTTCTGAAAATGCCCTGTACCAAGTCAGGAATATGGCAGTTGTTATCAAATAGTTCGTTTTCTATGTATGTTGGCCTTTTTTTTTTTGTTACACTTCAGTGTTTCTGTTGTTCCGTTGTTTTCCTCTTCTAGTTTATGTGTTTCCCTCGGCTTTAGTTTGTAACACTGATTTGTTTTCTCTCAATCGATTTATGACTTTTTAACAGCGGTATACTACTGTTGTCTTTCATTATTTGATGAAACAGCAGTTTACTTTTCATATATCTTTTTTGTCATACTCATCTGATACTAGTATATGTTTGAATAATTTTATGTTGTACTTACCTGTCTTTCTTCGGAACAATTTCTACCTTGTCAGCAGAAAGTAATGCATCCACAATCCTGAAAATATATGTGAATCGATCGATTGAAAAATGAGACGGGCCACTACGTTCAAATTCATTTATATTTGTTACTCAAATCAGTTATGGTTTCCAGCTTTTTAACCAGATCAATTCAACAATCTGAACTTTAGCTACTGGGTTATTAAAGGTATATGTACTACAAGAAGTACGATGTAGAATCTACTTCTGTAATGGTTTTTGAATTACGCGAAATCGGTCTTTTCTGTTACTAGAATATTTAAAAAGTAAAATAACAAAAAAAAACCGAACTCCAAGGAAAATTCAAAACGGAGAGTCCCTTATCAAATGGCAAAATTAAAAGCTCAAACACATCAAACGAATTAGTACGGCGGCTTTGTGAAAAATTGTGCCCATCCTGATACAAGCATGAAATTTGGCATAGACCTTCCTCAACTATTACTCTTTTATATCAGATAGGTAGGCATTTGAAAAAAAATTCTCACTTCCGGTAAAATCCAAAATGGCGGACATCATACTTAAATCAGCCCAATATCGATGGCTAGTATGTGAAAAGGTGTTATTATCAAGCTACTATCATAGTATTTGGTACAAACCTTTGTTATGTACTACTTTTGGATATTTTATATAGATTAGATGTCTTCAAAAACCCTATTTCCGGTAAAATCGAACATGGCGGACATTGTACTAAAATAAGCTTATTTTTATAGAGGGTAATTGAAATGTGCTTTAAAGTATTGCTTCTATCATTATATTGTGCAGGAACCTTTCTTTGGTGCTTCTCATGGATACAATTTATAGGACATATGTTTTTAAAACCCCTACTTCCGGTGATATCCAATATGGCGGACATAGAAATATGAAATTTTTATTTTAATATTAAAAATTATTTTCAAACACTTCAGGTAAAAAAAACCAATATGGCGTAAATTTCAAAGATGAGTCCTCAATCCATATCTTCGATGTAGAGTTTTGGATAGATTGATTAAAACAAAATAAAATCACTTAAGTACCAAAACATCTTTTGAACTACTAATTTATGGCCGCAAATACATGTTTATTCACAATCGGAGAGCTGATTTTCCACATTTACAAAGACCGTGATATTGTCTTTTACATCCAATGTACAAGCTCCTGATAAGATGAAGAGGCCTCACAAAGAGTTGTCCAAAAGGGTTCTCATGGATTATATTTTTCCCTTCGCCATTCATTAGCGTCTGGACTAGTTAGCATTGGAACCAATTCAAAGCTTGTTACTCATTCACACCCGCCATGGTATGTTTCACGTTTTACATGCTGAAAAAGACTAGACCGAGTCGTGGGAATAGCCTCAATAAGTCTTTCCTCTTCCAAAAACACATGTTTTCTTGCTTCGTTAACCCCATCTGATAAATTTGTTTGATCTTACAACAAAACCACGTATCGTTTTATCAATGACATTATCAAATCCATATCTGGTGATGTTGGCTGATCAATCATCATTCTGAATGATACAGTCACATCGTCAAACGCCATCCACATCAACAGTTCCTTTTCCAGCAAACGTGTAATCTCTCAATGCCTAGTGCATTTGAAAGGTCATGGATAGATATATATCTACAGCTTTTCCCACTTCCAAATGCAAGCCAAAGTTTGTCTGCTCCTATGTCACGGAAAAGCGAAACAGCAATGACAATAACATCAGTATCGATTGTTCGAGTCATGACTCAGTTAAGTCTGTGTTTCACTGCATCAGACACATGCATCTTGATTCTAGTGTCAGCCTCTTCATGTGAACATGGTGCTAAACTTGAAACATCATCATATGGTGGATAACACAGAAAATCCTCAGCTACACCTACCTTTTCCTCAAAATCGTTTGAGCAATCTGCTGTGAATGAAAACTAAAAAGTTCTTTCTTATTGTCGTCATCTCTCAGAAAACTCAGTAGCTCTTGCTTCTTGTAGCAGCCTGTAAACTACCGGTTTTGTCTATGTACGCATCCGAGACTACATCCACTGTTGTTACAGTTTCAAGGTGTTTCATAACGAGTATGCTGATAGGGTATTATGTCCTTACCTTGAAAAATACCTTAAAACTGTTACAGGAGTGGATGAAGTCTTGGATGCGTATGGTAGTTGTAGCAACAAATGATCAGGATATTCTATCTTATCCACCACGTGAAGTATTTCAAGTTTAGCACCATGTTCGCATTAAGAGGCTGACACTAGAATCATGGTGCATGTGTCTGATGCAGTGAAACACGAACTCAAACGAGTCATGATTCGAAAAGTTGTTACTGATGATGCTGTCATTACTATTTCGCTATTCCGTGACATAGGGGTAGACGAACTATGGATTGTGTTTGGGAGGGCAAAAAGCTTTGGATAAATATCTATCAATGACCTTTCAAATGCACTAGGCAATGAGTGATCACACAGACTTATTGAGATCCAAGCCTTAACCGGTTGTGATACGGTTCTATGTTCGCTTGAAAAGGAAAAAATACTGCGTGGGAGACAACTTGGTTTAGTCTTTTCCAGCATGTTAAACGTGCAATATACTAAGGCAGATGTTAAGGGGACGAGCTTGGAATTGGCTCTTATGCTACCTAGTCCAGGCGCCAATGGATGGCGAAGGGACAAAGAGGATCACTTTAAAAAAATCTTTCTGAGGCCTCATCATTTTGTCATAAGCTTGTACATTGTGGATGTAAGAAAAGATGCCTTGGTCGTTGTTAATGTGGAAAATCGGGTCTTCGGTGCACTGCTTTGTGTGCATGTGGTTGTGACTGTGAATAAACATGTATTTTTGGCCAAATAGTAGTAATTTTAAAAATGTTTTAATACTTTTATTAGTGATTTTATTTTGTTTTAATCAATCTATCCAAAACTCTACATCGAAGATATGGATTGAGGACTCATCTTTGATATTTTTTTACCGGAAGTGTTAACTTTGTATTTGAACATTTACAACAGAATAGAATTAGTGGTTTTGAGGATAACTTAAAGCCAAAAGTTTAAGGACCAGCACAAAAAAAACATTTTCTCTACATTTTGAAAAAAGTTGAATATTAAAGTAAAAATTTGATATTTCTATGTCCGCCATTTTGGATATTACCGGAAGTAAGGGTTTTTAAGACATATGTCTTATACATTGTATCCATGAGAAGCACCAAAGAAAGGTTCCTGCACAATGTAATGATAGTAGCAATACGTTAAAACACATTTCAATTACCCTCCCTAAAAAATAAGCTTATTTTAGTACAATGTCCGCCATGTTAGATTGTACCGGAAGTAGGGTTTTTGAAGACATCTAGTCTATATAAAATATCCAAAAGTAGTACATAACAAAGGTTTGTACCAAATATTATGATAATAACACCTTTTCACATACTAGCCATCGATATTGGGCTGATTTAGGTATGATGTCCGCCATTTTAGATTTTACCGGAAGTGAGACATTTTTTTCAAATGCCTCCCTATCTGAAATAAAAGAGAAATAGTTGAGGAAGGTCTATGCCAAATTTCTTGCTTGTAGCAGGATGTGTACAATTCGTCTGAAATATGCTTGTAGCCGCTGCACTAAATGGAAAACAACTGTCATATTCCTAACTTGGTACAGGCATAAAAGAATGTGTTTTATACGGGGAAAATATGACGTTATGAACTGCGTCCATCCAATGCCATTTTCCGCGTCACGTCATAATAACTCCTTTCCAATGCGACATACATTTAATGGGAAGCTCAAAGGACGGCATGATTTCATTTGACTACTTTGAATCTGCGAAGGCGTGATTATAAATGTATAACTATCGATGTGAAAGAAATTATTCTTACTCGAATAAGTGAAACTCGTTAGCTCACCTGGACCATAAGGCCATGTGAGCTTTTGTCAATACTTTGTGTCCGTCGTCGGTCATCTGTCATCTGGCGTTTGCCGTCCGTCGTCCGTAAATTTTTTAAATCTTTACCTCTGAAACTACTTAATGGATTGAAACTAAAGTTTGTTTGCTACATCTATACAGTGTCAACTATAGAGTTTGGGACTTTTGTCGAAGTAAATCACCAAACAAATGCTTTATTTTAAAAGCTGAACATATGTCAAACTACAGTTCTGGATTTATCTCTAAAACTAAAGTAACAAGAGAAAACTGATAATGTAAAAAATCATCGGCACAATATTTTTTTCTATCCTGAACATTTTGGAAGAATACTTCCACAAGTTTTGGATTTATTGAAATGTTGATTTTAAACTGTTTTTTCTTTGGTATTTCGTTGCCATTGTTTCAAAAAACTATTGGAGCTAAGTTAAGAGAGTTAATTACAATCATGATCTGCATGACGAGATGTATCTGAATATTGCTACCAGTTTCGAAGTTAATGCCCCCAAAAATATAGACAATTTTATTTTTTTTCATTTGAAACAGTTGTTGGCTGTAATCATGAAAAATCTGTCGATCTATTTTGGAGTTATTGCCCCTAAAATTATTTTTTTTTGTAATTTTTGGCTGTCTTCATGAAAAAATAGGAGCTAGGTTGAAAGTGTAAATTGCAATAATGATCAGCACGAAAAAATCTCTTAAAGGGGCATAAGCTGTCAAATTCATGTTCACCGATTTGACTTAAATTCTCATATTTGATTTACAACATACTAAAACGTATATTCAAATTACATAAAAAGTGTAAAAATAACAATTAACAATGCATGGACTCGATAATACTTATCAACATTTCGTGTGTATTTTTGTCTAGACGTCATCTATTAATCATCGAGATGACCTCCGAAGACTTCCGACGGTCATATAACCCGATATAAACATAAATATAAATATAAATAGATAGCGACCACGTGCAATTGGATTTTTCTAGGTGTGTCTGATTTCTTATTGTAGATTAAATAGTTTGTTTATCATCGTTTGTACCTGTATAAGAATGATTTTTTGTGGATCGAATCAGTCAACCAAATAGGTCATCCTTGTTTCACTTTCAAAGTTGACATTCTTTTCCTTTTAATAGCTGAATACATGTGTAACCCATCTCCAACTAAGGGGTTAATTTTAAGGTCACATGAATACGGATTCAATAAGGTCGAATTATTCACCTGCAAGTGAATAACTCATCAACGATGTTTCTTAGATTATTTTTGACAAAATTGAACCAAATTGGCTGCTAAAAGCGAATGATATTTAAAATTTTACTTTCATTAATGATAGAACAACAAAAAAAAAACGTATTTATTTTGTTATTTTGAAATATATAGGAGCTAGGTTAAACATGTTAAAAGTGATAGCTGCAAAAACTAACAGTATGACAAGATCGAACTACTCTGATATAGTGACAACCTGTTTTGGAGTTATTGTCATTTATATGTTCATTTTTACTGTGTGTGCAGTTTTAGCTGTTATCTAAAACAGTATTGGAGCTATGTTAAACATGTAAATGGCAAAAATTATCAGCATCACTAAGGCTACAATAGCATGCGCTCATAAAAGCCCGAGTTAGCAAACTGACGATTTTCAACTAGGTGAGTAATATATACAGGCACAAGTGTGCTTCTTTTTTCAATTCATATAACTGCCAAGTTGCTACTTTGTTTTACAGAAAATATATGTGACAATGTGTGATTAAACTTTAACATTCGATATGCATAGGTTCAGTCATAAGCAGTTGTCTTTGTCAACAACATTCAAAAATCAAATAAAGAGGATTACAGATTTGGTCAACAAAACATATAAACCTTTTAAAAAGGTATTCACAGATAACGATTTTAAAGCTTTGATGAGCACTTATCGCGATGTTTGAATTTAAAATGAGATTAGCATATTACTTACATAGCTTCAACAGCATTGCAAACTCTGTGCTTATAAGCCCTTCTATGAAGAACTGACCTGAGTTGAAACATTCCGTACAAGGTTTCGGCTTCCTACAATGTACATGTATACTAGTAATGTATATCAAATGTGAACAAAACAAAACGATTGGTTCTTATTTCATTATCAATAACTGAACAAAATTGCAATGATGCTTTTTAAGAAATATCAATTACTTTGCCGGTTTCATTGAAGTTTTCTCCGTTTGATCATATTAACATGTTCAACAAACAAAAGGAAATAAAAAAAAAATCGGACGGAAGACACCAATGGAAGATCAAAACTCAAAGTCGAAAAGAGACCGACAAAAGCATGACCAAAACGAAAAACCACAAAAGGACGAATAACAAAACACTACTTGGAAAATTAAAGACTGAGCAACAAGAACTCTATCAAACACCGGGGTTAGTCATAGGTGCTCCGGATGGATAAATGTAAAGCAATATAAACCATACAATCATGCAACAGTTATGACCGTTGTAATGGTCACAGTTGATAATTTAGATCAGACAAACCCTGTTTAAATTTCATGCACCAATAAGCACATTTTGTTTACATGTGTCTCCTAGATGACATTGCATATACTTTTCATAAAATGCTGTAGGTAAAATGTATAATACATTAAATAAGACATTCGGGAATCGCTCAATGTGCATACCTCTACAAAAAACAAGTAACATATTATACATTAGAAATGCTCTAGTACTTTTTAATTCTGGTTTCATAAAGTGAAAGAAAATGTCTGTTGTGTGTAACAAACCAGAGCTGTCAGAGGTTAAATGAATAAAGTATTTAATACAACATAATAAATTGCATGGTGATTTTATATGGAACAGTAAATAGTTTATATCCTCAAGTAATTCATTTATTCATAACCTACTTAAGAGTCTTGACGATTTAAAAACTTTGGCCTTATAGGGATTTAACTTTTTTCAACTTTTAATGTCACTTTTGGTCAAATTGCTCCTCACGTATTCATCATGTGCATGTTTGTTCTTATACATCTTTAAATGTAAAGATTTTAAGTTGGAGAGTTCCTAGTGAAATTAAATCCAGTTGAGCATCAGATCAGTTGTCAGTGATTCGGAACTAACATGATTTATATCATTACTGTCTAATTCTAAAATTCACCGTTGATGAATTCAAAATGTTTAAGAAACTAAGGCTCCAAATCCCTCCAGTAAAGTTTTCCCTTACTAAATTTTGCTATTCTATCAGGTCTCAATAGTCAATATAGCTCCGAGCTTATTCAAATAGGTATACATCCTTGGCTTTCATTCATTTTATTTGAACCCTCCTGATGAAAGTGTATCTAGAAAAGCGTTATTGGCGAACTTAATGTATAAAATGATTTTTTTACATTTTTTAGATTAAATAGATACCGGTTTATTATTTTATATTGTTTTTTTTTACCTCTAGATTATTGGTTATTTGTTCGTTGGGTTTCTTTTGCATTGATATAAACCCCTAATGTCCTTTTATTTTCAAAACACAACATACTTATTTAATGCTAACAGGAGGAATTAGCTATCAGTTTCGTGTTAGCAACAACAATTCAAGTAGTATGGAAACTGCATAATTCAAAAGCCAAGAAGATTCAAAGGAATGGCATTTAAAAACACATTTAAAAAAAAATTCAATGGTTCACCTTTTTTAGTCAAACGTATTCCATGATTAAATTTGAAGTATATCAATGTTAATCATATATGACAGCAAAAGTTTTAGCAATACTCAGTTGGAAAATGATTCGGTTTTAATAAAATAGATAATGTTTTTCTAACATTTGATCAGCAATCAATTTGTGGAGGAGATGTTGTAGCTTTGCCCTACCTTATATCTTCAATTCAATTGTGTACAAATTGTATCTTTGGTTAATTTATTCTATCAAATACTATGAAGATCTTATTGACCTATCTTATTTCTTCAATTAATTTGTGCAGATATATTGTATCTTTAGCTTGACTTTTCTCTGCAATCAATGCGAGGAGGTGTTGTATATAAGACCTACCTTATCTCTTGAACAGATTTGAAAACTGTCATTAACCCTTATCACACGTGCAAACTTCATGAATCTATTGTGATCAAAGGTGTTTTTTATTCCCAATCCATGACAGTCTCTAGCAAAGTAATCCCATTTGTCTACATCAATTCCATTCCTATCATTTGCAACAATCTATAGTGTATCAATTAGTAATGTTAAAAACAGAACACCTTTTCAAATGCAGTATTTTATCATATCAGATCAGTATGTGAACGCTCAAAAATAAAGTTTAGTATAAAACAAACGAATGCATAGTTATGAAATTGTAAAATATAAGATTAATACGAGTTCACAGCTGACAGAACCAATCGACCTTCGGCAGGAAAACTGACAATCCTAGTCAATTGCGATTGGAGTCGAATGCACCTGGCAAGTGCAGGGTACGAATTCACAACCTCAGCGTTGACAGACTACAGTTACAGTACATGAACTACTCTACCCAATCTGGTCATCAAAACCCCTCATATAAAACATACCATGTCTTTTAAATAATTGTCAAATATACCAACCTATAAAAACTATGTAGAAAATGTTAAATTAAGATTACAAATATCTGTGCTAATACAGTCATACTTTGATACATCACCACGAAAGGTACAGTAATTTCATTGTTCATGTCGTTGTATATAGACAAAAACAATGTCCCAGACAAAGTTCTTCTTATACATTCGAATTCGGTCCAATTAACTATATATTTTTCGAAAGGCCGTACACATGGGTGCAGTTATTACCTGAATAAAATTAATTTTGAACAAGCATTTCAACTACTCTGCAAGTTAAATTGGTATTGACGATACCTGGCAAATTCGAATTCCCATGGCGGTTGAGGCATGCATAGCAAGAGTCGCTTATCCTGTATATTGAAATTGATTTACTAGATCGGAAATTAAACTACTAGTTCTCCTATATAACATTGAGTTTATATCATATTTTCAAACGACATATTTAGAGGATAGCTCATTCATTTATTGCAATTGGGCTATATATATATATATAATGATTTCTGCATATTGCTTTCCAAATGAAAGGTATTGCACATTATTTTAAAGTATTTTTGTGCGTCTATTTAAGACAATGCAATAAATCTAATTTTGAGTTTTGATAACGGTTCAGCTGGTGAATTATGTATGTCACGTTCACGTCTAGTTCTAAAATATTGTGCAACATTCCTTTACAGTAAATGTAACCTTTTAGGCATTTTTTAAAATTCAATTGTATTAGATTAAAACAAATCAGGCTTTTAGCTTCATCTGAAAAAATATTGAGTAAACGGTAAAATATTATTGACGAGTACTAAAATGTACATTACTGTCAAATGGATATTGGTTGATTTGATAAAAAAACACAAATTATGAGTGTATTGTTGTAAATTTTTTTATGATGATATATTTATCGATATAGAAAAATAAAGGTGATTTTTTCTTCCGTTTGTGAATCATTTTTATTTTCGTTAACTGATAGTTAATAAAGCACGGGTATGCATTGTTCTTTTAAGAACTTTTTCCCCAACTATAACACTTGTTAGTTTTGGAATTGCACCATCATGATGATTTGTATTTAAATTATCGCAAAAAACCGATATACATAAAATTGAGAATGGAAATGGGGAATGTGTCAAAGAGACAACAACCCGACCACAGAACAGACAACAGCAGAAGGCCACCAACAGGTCTTCAATGCAGCGAGAAATTCCCGCACCCGGAGGCGTCCTTCAGCTGGCCCCTAAACAAATATATATACTAGTTCAGTGATAATGAACGCCATACTAAACTCCAAATTGTACACAAGAAACTAAAATTAAAAATAATACAAGACTAACAAAGGCTAGAGGCTCCTGACTTGGGACAGGCGCAAAAATGCGGCGGGGTTAAACATGTTTATGAGATCTCAACCCTCCCCCTATACCTCTAGCCAATGTAGAAAAGTAAACGCATAACAATACGCACATTAAAATTCAGTTCAAGAGAAGTCCGAGTCTGATGTCAGAAGATGTAACCAAAGAAAATAAACAAAATGACAATAATACATAAATAACAACAGACTACTAGCAGTTAACTGACATGCCAGCTCCAGACTTCAATTAAACTGATTGACATGTATAGGCTAATGCTAAAAAGTGTTCTATGGTATCTGAATTGTTTTGTTTCTACGTTTTTTAGTACGATTTGAATGGTTTTGTTTTCTATAACTATTTAGTACGATTCGTATTTCAATCCAAAACCTGACAGAGAGCAGGCTATTTATTGATACGACAGACGCGAGTCTATATAAGATTCTCCAGTGGTGCTTGAATCAAAACAGTCGGGTGGCGACGTTAAAAGGCATTAAAAATAAAAAATTTCGAAAGTTGTGCCAAATACGGTAGCAGAAAACTTGGTGTTTCGAATAATCAACATAATCATTTATGAAACATTTTTAAATATGGAATTCGCCGGTATATTTCAAATATACAAATAAAAGTTATCTGCGCACATGTTTTTATTAAAACAAGACGTTTCAGAAAGAAAAAAAACGTGAGTTAACGAGAACAAGTAGGAGTACCTAATTTTAATTACCTCATACAAAAATCTTTTGTTTTCTTCTCTCCCCTCATATGGATATGCCTATAGATAAAAAAAATGCCTTCACTATTGTGATGAAACAAGTTATTTTAGTGAATAAATTGTTTAATTGTAAATTGACATTTGATTTTTAAACTCAGAAGTCAATAAAAAACCGACAACGAAATAATAAAATTGAGTTCTTCTTTTTCACGATTTTTCACCTTTTTTTAATTTAAGATAAAAAGTCAAGGCTTGGAAATTCATCACATTTCATTTTGGATACACTAATAGATGCTAAATTCTTCAAGCTTTATGGAGTTATAAATTTTGTTTCATTCATATATTTTAATATCTGATTAACTATGTTAAATACACACCGTTATCTTCACCATATGTTTGATTTTTTACGTATAAAAAATTAAGCCGATACTTATACGGAATCTATTGGGAATAAGCCGTATGATTATTGATATTCCTTTGTGAAACCCGAAAGCTGTGAATGTAAGATACTTAAAGTATTTATCGAACATCAAACACTAAATGTTAGTGTAAGAAAGAATTAGCTCATGAATTAAACAACCCCATCCGAACTTACAACCACGGCATTTTACAGTCAAAGTTTTTGACGTATTTGATATGTTGCTTAGTGCTTACAGTGTTTTGGAGTTCGTTGTTTTTGATATACTATTTTTAAAGCGGCTACAGTAGTGTACCGATATTCAAATCTCGTTACTACATTACAAATTTCCAAATCAAGATACAGATTTCTGATGGAATCTCATGAACTTTAAACATAGCGCAACCGGGTAAGCCAACAAGGAAGGTTATCTTGATATGCGTTCATCACCCTCCATGTTTTATTTATCCTGATATGCGTTCATCACCCTCCATGTTTAATTTATCTTGATATGCGTTCATCACCCTCCATGTTTTATTTATCTAATCTGTCTGTTTTATTCTAGCTATGAGCTTCAATTTAAAGTTGCAAGGTAGCAAATTAGCATCAAAATGATGTACTTTAAGGATTATTCAGTCGTAACGAATTCAGTGACCCCTATGAGTTGTATTCTTTTTTAAATGGATAAAATAACATAATTTGATATACCTCAAGGCTTTTAAAAAAATTTACTTGGAAAATCTACCTTTTTCTAGTTGGCTAACACATGTTACATTTTTGAAAAGTGTATTCGTTCTTGTAGTAACATTGTCTTGTTGCGTACTTGCATACTATTATAAACTCGGGTGACTTATGTCTTAGGTGATGTTAAAGGTCCTGATCCGTGGTCTTTTGCTCTGCATGTTTATTTTTCCATAAAGAGTTTGCTTACATAGATGTTTGTTGAATTTATCAATAACTTTTCCTTTAATTTATAGCTTACCATACAGCGTGGTCATTTCGTCATCCAGAAAGACCACCTGTTACTTATGGGTGTCTTTTTTCCGTTAAATCACGCTTTTGCTTCAAATTGGATGCAAATGCGATTTAGAATAGTTTTTTTTATAGTTTCTTTTTTTTCATTTTGAAATATTTGTTTCTATAAAAATTATTTAGTTTCAATTTGTTTTATAAAGAGAGGGTTAGTTGCTCTGACGGCGTGCTACGACTTTTAAACATGAAGACGTCCAAGATCTGAATTATTTTGTTTTAAATATTTACGTGTTTTATGTAATGGTTTATATTTCTTTAAGTATACACATCATTTTATTCGGGAAATATACGAACCTCACAAATATCATCAGGAAATATAAAGAAATTGAATGGAAGCAAAAGATGTTAAACTACATTTTCTTATTCCTTATAATGTGCAGAAGGAGAGTTTAGAATGATGCTTTATATAAATTTTCAACTTATATTAAAATACTATTCCGACAAACTTTCATCATATGAGGGGTATTTATTTGTGTGACTTACTTGTTGATGATGAACCGTGAAAACAATATTCAGCGAATTAAAAAAAAATCAAATAGGGTTGTATGTATAATTTATGATAACTACAAAATAAGGTATTAACCAAAATTTTTTATTGAATTTACGAAAATTGGTAGCCACGAAAATCAATAGATTCACTGTATTATATATATAAAATGGTTTTACTCTATTTGTATCCTTTTGGGGTCCTAGAATCTGTTCCCGGATGAACGTCTGGTCCTTATCGCCTACACCATACTTTTTGAATTCCTCCTCTAGTTTATTGTCTTTTATTAGAAAATCAAACATCATTTTTGAAGCATCCTCATGCTGTAAATAAACAAACATAATCAAAGAAATACTGTTGCATGGTAATGTTTGCAGTAAAATAGTTGAACCATTTGAACGTTCAATTGACGTTATCTGCCATTTTCTGAAAATATTTTGTTTTAAAGCAGCGTATCCTTCTTCTCTTTCATTCATTGCTATAATACCTTGCAGTTTTGAAATTTGAAGTACCATGATGCTTTTCAAGATGCAAAAATTAATTTTGTTCATATTGGTGTATGTGGGCATCTTTATAGCCAGAAATATCTACGTGGTAGAACAACGAAAAACTGGTGAAGATGAAGTATTCCATAATATTATTTTTTCCTTTGAGCTATTGGTTCTTTTGAAACGGACTGAAATGGCAGAACATGCTAATGGATACCTTTCAATTAGGTGTAGTTTTATTCCATTTATCATCTTTATCCGTCACAAGATAAATAACGTGACATGTATCCAATTAGAAAACTATGATACTACACAGGCTTGCATCTAAAGCAATACATACACATGACTTCGCACGTACACAAACTATTTTTTATATTACACAGTTACGTGCGTTTGTTTTCATTTCTTCTAAAATAAGACGCATTCGATTTGTTATGTTTACTGGATAACAAACCATTGTTTTGATTCTTCACATTTCTTTGTAATTTCTTTTTATAGCTTCATGTTAAAAAAAATATTTGCTAATGTCAGATATATGTAATATTCATTTATTTTTTTTTATTTATGTATGTATTAAAGAGGACGTTACAATATTGAAAATATCTCTCTGAACCATATGTCCTTTTGAACAATAAAATATGTTTAAGATTTGAACTCATTCTCATCAATGAAACCCATGTAATAAGTTGTCGATAAACAGTAAGGTAATGGGCATCAATTGCAATATCCAGGGATTATGGATGTAACATTTTCATTTGACCTAAAATACAACAATTTCCTAATCAATCTATTTTAATTCTGAGGAAATTTTATTTGTTAATTTACATTTTTTCTCCTGAATGATGTTTGTTTTAAATATTTCTTAAAAAGAAAACCTTCTAAAACAAAACAAACACTGTCATTTGATTTTCGTGATGACCATTTGAATAGAAGTATAATTATGAAAACAAGCGAGTCGAGAAAAAATTTGAAATGGAATTAAAAACAGTGTTCAAAAACATAAAACGGTTTCCTTAGTGACATTTGATATACTATAGTCTAACAGTTTATAATTACTTTCTAACATCGTTTGTACAATCATAGCTTAAAAAATATATATAACGTTTTAATATTTTTTTTTTTCACTTTGAAACGATATGCTATTATATTTGTTTTTCGTTTATCTGTTTGGTACATAAATGAGATAATTGATTTTCTAGATTGAACTGTTTCACATTTTGTTATGTTAAGGTAGAAAAGGTAACTATAGTTTCTTAAATCTGCTTCATCTGGTTTTTGCTGGTTAGTTGTCTCATTAGAAGTCGTATCACATTTTTATTTATTTTTTTGTATTTTATGTATATTCTATTATCCAACAAACTAAATATGTTCAAAAAGATTCAAATGGCAGAAGTGGCATTTAGCAAGCGACAATAAGCGTGTTGTATTTCTTGCATAATACGTTTTCTGTTTTATTTATTTTTTTATATTTGATATTTTGACACGAATGTGAACAGTTAACATATATTCCATTTTAATGGTCATTTTCCCATACGATTATAAATATACCTTCCATTTAAATCCTGGTATTGCTTCTGGTATGAATTTAGCATCAAACAAATGAGAAAATGGTCCATGGCCTAAAAGTTTAAAATCAAATTAAGATAAAACCTGAATTTTCCCAGGGACAAATACTTCTTTTTCCTACGAATGTGTTAAGCTTTTCAGGAGACGATTACTCTGTCGACGCACCCATTCTCGATTCCTATTGGACTTCATCGACTCCGTCCGTTTTGTATTTGCTACCTTGCTTTGTATTTTGTAAATCGATTGGCGATATTTGAACACCGGCCAACAACTGTTGTCTAATTTTAGACAATTGCTCTTACAAATATTTTTGTAAAATGTTTGATTGTTATATTGAAAATTAAAAGTGAGAGTAAATGTGCTGGAAATAAAAAACAAAATATTGTGTTACAAAGCAGTGTATTCTACTCTTTCATTCATTGATATAATACCATGATATTTTTTTCAAGATACCAAAATTATTATGTTCATCTTTTACTAGTAAATGAACTTCAGTCTTAAGCGGTTAATTTGAACTTAACATCATCTGAAAAATCAGACCAATAAATTATTAAAGTCAATGTTAGTCTTCCAGTCAGTTTTCAAACTTATGTACTGCGGACAGTTCGCTTGCAGTCAATTTACTGCTGTTCATTAGCTTTTCAGATAATTCCGTATTATGTTGATGTGTACAGGTAAATAACAATTACTGAACAGTCTTAACATATACTGAACAGATCTTTAATGACTGCAAGCAAACATTAGGATTAAATATGTGATTTCAAACTGCAAAGCTGATAAAACAACATGTAAAATAAATACTAAAATTGAGAAAGGAAGTGGGGAATGTATCAAAAAGACAACAACAAGACCAAAATGAGCAGAAAACAGCCGAAGGTCACCAATGGGTCTTCAACACAGCGAGAAAAAACCCGCACCCGGAGGCGGGCTTCAGCTTGCCCGTAAAGAAAAATGTGTACTAGTTCAGTGAAAATGGACGTCATACTAAATTCCAAAACATATAAATGAACTAAACTCAGTTTAAAAGAAGTCCGAGTCCGATGTCAGAATAGGAAACAAAAGAAACTAAGCAAAATGACAATGATACATAAATTAACAAAGGACTACTAGCAGTTACTGACATGCCAGCTTCAGACCTCAATTAAACTGATTGAAAGATTTTTTTTCCCGGTTTCCGTCCCAAAAAGTATTTCTCTGGGGAAGAGTTACTAAACAAAACCAAAAGGATCAAGGCCATTATCATTAACTTATGCAGACATGATTAATGAAAAACTCTATGAAAAGTATGTGTACTTCAATCTTTCTGAAATGAAAGCATAGACGAACATTACAAACAACCTGATGTAAGTACAAATTCGGTGATAAGTCTAATTTGGTGATGTCAAATTTTAGGAATAGACGTTTTTCATAACGATCATTGCAACCAACTTATCATCACAATTTTGTTTAATGAGCAACCTGACAGGTTCAATTGGTGGATCAGGTACTGTCAACCTTTCTGAAATGACCCATTATTTTAATGTGAGGTTGGTTCTGCTCATTTTTTGGTTTTCTTGGTGAAGTGTTTTGTTATTAATTGTTGTTTGTCTATTCGTCATTTTTTGGGGCTTTTGTGTCGTTTAATATTTTGTATCATATTCTACAAAAAAAAAACTTCAGATACTCATAAGACACTAGTCAGTTAGGCAGTATTTAAATTTTTGAATTTGTTTTGCATATTTGCATTTGGGCTTCAAACGTTTTGAATTAACTATAACACTACATGAATTGCGAAAATAGCCTCATTTTGAGATAGTCAATATTTATGTATGAGCATTATCTGTAACCAATAAGATATTTTGCGACAAAATGCATTGTATTTATGTTTTACAAATATGTAATTGTGTCTAAAAAATCTTTTTGTGAATGGCTGTTGCTTTTATTTTCAATTTCAACCTGTTTATGAAATCACAGTGGCATCACTAGTGCAGTTACACATTAACGTAGCGTATTTACTTGACGATATCGGGATATTAGTATTTAGTCGAATCTTAACAGAAAGTTGTGATAATATTAAAAAACAGACACGGATAGAAAGTAATAAAAAATGTCAAAATGTTCAGGCTTAAATTACATCTGTATTTGGGTAATTTGATGCATGCATACGATCTGTATTGTGTCTTATACTATTAGAGGCAAATTATAGGTAAACACGTTAATTATGAGCTATGAAAGTCAGGTAGTTTGTGCGTTTTTCTGAGTAATTTCAAAACATTTTAAACAAATATACTTTACTGTGGGTTAGCATTTGTTAGTTGTCACTATCCTTTAAATTAACAACTGTTGGTTATATTGATTATTTATAATTTTCATTGAAGGTGGAGCACGAATGCTGTGTTAATTATTTCTTTTGATGTATGCAAGAGTGATATCCCTTTGTACTATGTCTGAACTCGAAAAAGTCTATTGAATATATGCGTGTATTGTCTCCCTTGAACAGGTTCATAATTTTACATTTACGTATAGTTATTTGATTTAATTCTAAATTACAAAATTTATGAATTTAATAGATTTTAGTTTTTATTATTGGTTTATTAAAAACATTCATGTATATTCATAATCTTATTTATATATTTTGAAACGTTTACAATTACTATGTATCAATATAAAGAACCTTTCATATTTTTTCAATATTATTTTAGTTACATTTAAATAACAATTTCACCAACCGTGCAAGACCCTCGGGGGTAGTCAATGCCGTTATTAACTCCTCTCTACAACAAGATACTTGGATTAATGAGGCATCTTACTGTGAGAGTGCATATAGTGTTGTTGCTACAAACTTTGAAAGCCGCATTATGGTAATATATTATATATAAAACTATCTGTTTATTTATAATTTGAGGTAAAATATTCAGGTGAACAACACACGTGTTATTTGACACCTGTAGTCATTCTGCTGTCAAGGATACGCGGTTTTAAGTTGTTGTCCGCATCATCTTACCTATAACAACATTGATCCTGCTATTTGTAAAAATAATTTGTTGCTTTAATATATATACGGTGTATATAATTATGTCAGAATTCAAATGAAGCAGACAAATTGCCTTTTATAGTTGCATTACTTGATTCCCTAAAGACAAATACATGTATGCTGTGACAACTCTAACACAAACACACAAGATACACATACGCACAAACACAAAAACAGAACACCATAAGCACCACTTTATTCTAGAAAATTCATACCTTTGTCAAATTTGTTAGTGAGAAATTATGATTGGAACCTACGTAAAGCATTTGAACTTTTATGCAAAAGACTATACATGAAAACCGAATTATATTATCTCCCCATAATGATAAAATGTTGGGAAAATTAACCAGAGTTATTTTACATTAATCATAAAGAGGGGCTAGCAAACAATTTTTAATTTGAGCTTAATTAACGTTAAAACGATTTTCCACTAAAAATGAATGTTACTTTATTCAATTATAAGGACTTAGTTACCCAAATCCACTAATTTTACTTTTTTTGTAATGTCAGCTGAGGCCAAATAATAGCTACGATTGATTATGTCTCAGTCCTGCTAAGTACGACAACTTAACTCCTTATTGGAATTAAAACGCTAATCGTGTGTGTTGACCTTCTCGAGATATTTTTGACAGCTAATATAGCTGATTCTTTTTTTCAAAGAATGTTATGTATAATAAGTAGTTCTATTCTTTCAGTTTCTCCATATCGATCATTAAAATTTAAAATGTAAAATAACAATATAGTAAAAACATTATACTATCTTACCGATGTCATGACAAAGACCAGCTATTTCTACACACAGTATATCTTTATCTGATATATCTAAATCTGGTTGTCGCTTCTGTAATATCCGCGCTAGCTGTCCAGCTAAATGACATACTCTACAAAAGTATTCTCAGTTTTAAGATTAATGATATTGTTATATAAAAATAAAAACATCTATGATTGCCAATGTGACAAATATCAGACAAAGACAAATAAATTATGTCAACCATTAGCATAACCAATACTGTGTAGAAAGCTATAAAAGTCCCCGACATAGTAATGATTATTATATGATAACGTTGGTATCCGTTAAGACTCAAATTATTTCTTTATTCTACAAACTTTTATTCTTTTCTTGGTTATTTCAATAAAAAGTTTTGTTTTAAACTGAAGCCATTTATATGAAAATAGCTTTTATAAACAGTCCTTTAATTTGGATAATTGTATGTTAATATTAAATATTTAAAATAGATAGCATAAGAGAATTTGTTAACTCCCTGTTATGAAATGAACTAAAACTACAGTCTATTTGCTATCATAAGCTTTTTAATCACATGAGGAAACAATACAATATCACATGCCATTGTTTAAAGCCAAATAATAATCTATGACTTTTATTATTTTTTTCCAGTTTGTCGATCATATAAATGATTGCAACTTACAGGAACAACTGGAAAGCAACGAATGTGTTAAAAAAATTAGTAGCTTCAGAATCAAATGTGACCTTAACCGAATAGCCACATCAATATATGGTCAACTATAACATAGAATAAGAATACTAGTATATTCTTCAAGTGAACATGCATGTTCCATTAAAAACTTTTACTACCATGATCATTTAGAAAAAAAGGGAAGTATTGACATTTTGTATATACTGGTTTTCCAATTGAGATAATCCGTACTGATCATAATTGAGTTATATATTTGAAACACATCCTTTCACTCACCCAATACAATGTTCAAATCTGTTGTTTGAAGCTCCAGGATAAACAAAATAGCACGCTCCTATCTGTTTTAAATCTCTTAGTCTTTGAAACTGTGGTGTATCTATGATTTTAACACACAGTGGATGTACTTCTATATGACCATGAATTGGATCGTTAAATATCTAAATAAAAGTAACGGTATATTATGTATTTGTTATAATTCTGTGCGCATGTAAAGTTAACAACTTACCCATGTTATCGTAAAAATACTATTATCAGACACATATAATTTTGAGAAAGGGAACCCCTTACGTTAAGCGAATAGATGTTTTTGCTTTTGAATATCACGTTCCTAGTGCAATTGAATGTAGGGACCAACTTTTCCTATGTTTCACTGAATTTCAATGCATATTTCATAATGCATGTTTGGTCCATAAAGATGTAAAGCTTTATTGTTGTGCCTGTGAATACTATATCGGAATCCTTGATTTTGCAGCAGTCGACAAAGACTAATTGAAATTGACCCAAAGTAATTGTTAGCTATGTTGATAATACTGATGAAAGCCCCAAAATATAGCAAATAGTTCACTGTCTTAGTCGGTTCTATGTAAAGAGTCAAATATCGGGCAATTGTATAAGATATTGTCAATAGAATATCTGTTCCAAAGTGTATTCCAATTATTCATATACATCGCTTCAAAAGTCCAAAAGTCTAAAAAGACAAATTCATGTATGTGAAGTTAGCGGCCGGTTCGTTATTCGATATTCGATATTCAATATCGGTTCGATATTCAAATTTAGTTGAAAATCATAAAAAAATTAAATATTCCATAACATTAAAAGCATGATTTTCATAGTTAAAAGGACTGAAAAGATGCGTAGGAAATCGTTAAAAGACCCCTTCAAGCTGTCGTAAATTTCGAATATAAACCCTTATGTAAGTTGCCTATTTGTCTTTATGTAATATAGATTTTTATCAATAAAACGACTTCAAAGATGTAATTTTATAAATAATATTTCTTAAAACAAAAACAGAAACCGATCACTCTAGAAACATTTAGAAATATAAATAGAAATATTTATGGAAAGCCCCAAAAAAAAGAAATGTATAGTGAAAACCTACCTGAGACCGCTTAAATGAGAGTGAGACCCCCCTGGTCTTTCAATGTCCATAAAATTCGACAAAATCATAGACTCTGTATATATAAAGGTTGTATCAAATAATGTCATCTTCGATATCTACGGAGGGCTTAGATTGTCACTTTTCGGCTAAAAATTGTCAAAATTTCAGGACAAAGTGCACAGGGCAATGATGAGAGTCCCCTGATCTCTCAATCTTCCTAATATTGTGCAGACATTAAGTTAATATGTAGATACAAACGTGACTTAAAGGAATTTGGGTAAACTTCCTGTCTTCTATGTTTACGGAAGGCCCAAAGTGCCAGTTGGATATTCAAAATATATAGTGAAAACCTACCTGAGACCGCTTAAAAGAGGGTGAGACCCCCCTGGTCTTTCAATGTCCATAAAATTCGACGACATCATAGACTCTGTATATATAAAGGTTGTATCAAAAGGATTTTGCAGAATAATGTAATCTTCGATATCTACGGAGGGCTTAGACTGTCACTTTTCAGCTAAAAATTGTCAAAATTACAGGACAAAGGGCACAGGGCAATGGTGCGAGTCCCCTGATCTCTCAATCTTCCTAATATTATGCAGACATTTAGTTAATATGTAGATACAAACGTGACTGAAAGGAATTTGGGTAAACTTCCTGTCTTCTATGTATACGGAAGGCCCAAAGTGCCAGTTGGATATTCAAAATATATAGTGAAAACCTACCTGAGACCGCCTAAATGAGGGTGAGACCCCCCTGGTATTTCAATGTCCATAAAATTCAACGAAATCATAGACTCTGTATATATAAAGGTTGTATCAAAAGGATTTTGCAGAATAATGTCATCTTCGATATCTACGGAGGGCTTAGATTGTCACTTTTCAGCTAAAAATTGTCAAAATTTCAGGACAAAGGGCACAGGGCAATGGTGAGAGCCCCCTGATCTCTCAATCTTCCTAATATTATGCAGATATTTAGTTAATATGTAGATACAAACGTGACTAAAAGGAATTTGGGTAAACTTTCTGTCTTCTATGTTTACGGAGGGCCCAAAGTGTCAGTTGGATATTCAAAATATAGTGAAAACCTACCTGAGACCGCTTAAATGAGGGTGAGACCCCCCCTGGTCTTTCAATGTCCATAAAATTCGACAAAATCATAGACTCTGTATATATAAAATTGTATTAAAAGGATTTTACAGAATGATGTCATCTTCGATATCTACGGAGGGCTTAGATTGTCACTTTTCGGCTAAAAATTGTAAAAATTTCAGAACAAAGGGCACAGGTCAATGGTGAGAGTCCCCTGATCTCTCATTCTCCCTAATATTATGCAGACATTTAGTTAATATGTAGATACAAACGTGACTAAAAGGAATTTGGATAAACTTCCTGTCTTCTATGTTTACGGAGGGCCCAAACTGCCAGTTGGATATTCAAAATATATAGTGAAAACCTACCTGAGACCGCTTAAATGAGGGTGAGACCCCCCCTGGTCTTTCAATGGACATAAAATTCAATGATCTTTTAGACTATATGGCACCATTGTTTCCCCGGTGTCTGGGCCCCTGCATACACAATATTGTTTTGTGCTAACTTTTGTTTTCGTGGCAAGGGCATCTATACCTTGGGTAAACTGTGTATGGCAGGTTCTTAGACATGCAGGAATGTTTCTGTCTTTGCATTGCTTCAACCTGTCATGATTTGTGTTGAAGACCACCCTTTGAAGCTTATCTATGTACACAAAAGGAGCAATTTTGCATATAATCAACCAGGCACCTTCCACCGTGAGCTCAATTACTTGCTCTTACCCTTTATCTGAGCTGTATCTAAAACATAAACGAGGTCACCGGCCGCGTATTGCCGTTCTAATACTCGAAGGTCATAACCCTTCTTCATTTTAGCCTGGCTTGTTTTCAAGGTGTTCCTTGCTATCTCATGAACATTCTTAATAGCTTTTTAAAGGCCTATAATATACTCCTCAGTCCCAGTGTAATTGGGTTCCTCAGTTTTACCAAACATCAAGTCACCTTTTTTATTTGTCTCCCGGCTTAACATTAACTTGTTTAGGGGTGTAATCAGTACTCCTGTTTGCACTAGCTATATATAGTTCGGAAAGTCCCTGCTAACTGAGCTAAGTGTTCATCCAAGGTTTCCTGCTGTTGGTCCACAAAACATATCACAGCGTCCATCAAGATGCGGTTCTGGCGTTCTACTTGGTGATTAGTTGAAGGCCTATACGGTGTAGTCCTGGCTTTATGTGTCTGTAAGAGATCACAAACTGCCTAAACAGAGAACTCTCGAAATTTCGACCTTGGTCTGAGAAAATTTCAAACGAATATCCAAATCTGGAGAAAAATTCGTTGACAGCCGCCTGTGCTGTAACTTCTGCTTTTTGTGAGGGCAAAGGTATACAATCTGTCCATTTTGTAAATTGGTCTACCAACATCTAGATATTCTCGTTTCTATTTTTGGTCTTATGAAGTGGTCCCTTAAAGTCTAAATATACTCTTTCCATAGGGGAACCATCGTGGTAATTGGTCATAGGACATCTCCTATAACTGTTGGGTTTCTTATTCTTGTTGCAGGCAGCACATGTTGCAACAGAAGTCCTTATGTCAGAGGTCATTTTGTACCACTGATACTTTGTTTTAACCTTAGCCATGGTCCTAAACACACCCTGGTGCCCTGCACTAGGTAGCTCATGACAGAGCTCCATTACTGTGTCCTTTAGACTGGATGGAATTACTAGTCGGACACTTGCTCCTTCATTTTTAGGAAAACGTTTAAAGATACCACTTTCGTGGTGAAGCTAAAAACAAGGTGTTCTGGGTTGGCTCTTCTTTGTCTTTTAACCAAATTAGTAACAATAGTAGATCATGGTCTTCTGACTGTTTTGTCTTGATTTCCTCTGTTGTGAAATTAATACCCACTGACTGTGTTATAGCTTGATACGTGACAAGAATTCTCATCATTGATGATGATATGAGCTGTTGTTGACAAACATATCAAGTCAATATGTGTCGTGAACCAGGTGTCAACTACTTCCTGCTGATCCAGAGTAGGTGCTGAGACCAAGAGGTCGAGGTTGAAGTCCACATCAGGTAAAACAGGGACAACCTGAAATTTGGTCGTATCTTGAGCTTGGGTAGAGCCAAGGTCTCAGGTGTTGTTGAAAACAAGTTTAATATTGTGGTAGACACATTTGTGAGTGGCTTCTGTCTGTTTCGTGTTTTGGCCAATGGTATAACCTCATCTATTTCTGTAAGGAATCTGGACCAATTTATGTGGGCACGTCGGCAATAGGCAAACCCTCCAAAAGGTAACTGTTTGAGTTTAACATTCGGCTTGTAGTGTATACACTCTTGCAACGAGTCTGATGGTCTAGACAAGGCATCTGTGTTCGCATGGAGACGACCTGGTTGATGTTTTATGACCATATCATATTTGCTCGTCTAGCCATCTGGCTAATTGTCCTTGTTAGCCAAGTTAGACTACTATTGTCATTTCTCATTGTTAACTCTTTGCCTAACAAATAGTGCATGGCAAAACTGCCGTGTGAATCTTATCACGGCCAATAATTCCTTTCGTGTAGTACAGTATTTTTTCTGCTCAGATGTCATGATGAAACTACCATGGTTCTCTCTATTTCGTTTCGGACTTCATTAGCTCAGCTCCAATAGCATTCTGTGATGCATCTGTGTCCAAAATAAACCTGACTGATGTATTGGGTAATGCTATCACTGGAGCTACTAGTAATTTGTCATTTAAGGTGTCAAAAGCTAACTGTCTTTGGTGGCTCCAAAAGAATGTTTTTTTCCGTGTTACTTCATACAGAGGTGCTGAAATTTTTGCTAGTCTTTAATAAAGGAACGGTGATAGTTGTCAAATCCAAGGAACCTTTCGACTTCTTTAGTACAAGTACACACAGCCCAACCACTAACTGGTTATATGTGTTGCTGTCCAATTTTGAGTCCTTTGTTGGTCACACTCATCCCTAAAAAAGTCAACGGAGGTTTTGAATGAAGAACATTGTCTTGGTTTTAGTTTCAAGCCGTTCATCATTCGAGCATAGGTCCCTGGAGCATAACATAGCCCAAACGCCATTTTTACGCATTCGAATAACCCATGCTTTGTTACGAAGGCTGTTTTCTTCCTATCCTCAGGCTTTATGTTAACTGCCAATAAGCACTATTTGTGTTCAGTTTGGAATACCATACGTTTACGGCCAAGGTGTCTAGGCACTCATCAATGAGAGGCAAAGGAAAAAGATTACGTGATGTGACTGAGTTTAATTTGCAATAATCAATGCACCAGCGCACTCCTACCGCATTTTTGTCCTAATCAACACTGGTGCAGAGGCCCATTAAGACATGGAAGGTTGTATAACTCCAGCGTCTAACATTTTTAGTAAATGTGTTTCTTCTTTGTCCACGAAACAGACAGGTGTTCTCCTTATGCTGTGTTGGGTGGACATTGCTTCCCCTGTGTCAATGGTATGTTCTATGGCGCTGAAGCTGCCAAAGTCAAAATCTTCTTTGGCGAAAAGATCGCTGTAATTAATGAGCAACTGTCTCAGCTAAGCCCTTTGAGAACGATACATGACAGAACTTGCATCTTGGTATAGGTCTTTTAAATGATTTGGTATCCCAGATTTTGGACTGTCATTATTTACTGTACTCGGGGTAGTACAAGTACTAACACTTGGTAAAGGTTCATCTTCCATAGACTGTATTACTCTGACTTCTTGTCTGTATCCTACCTCCTCTCCTTTTGGAATTCGATTATCTGTTATGTTGAGAAAACAGATGGTTGGCGTCTGTCCTTTTGCGCACACTGTTCGAGGTATAAGTATGGTTGTGTTGCCTTTAAGCTCGATCGGATAGTCAGAATTCATGTCTGTTGCCTCAAAGTCCATACGATGAGCTGTGTAAGGAGGTACTATGATGGCTTATTGTACTGTAACCCTGTTTACTATTGGGACATGTGGTGCTGATGGTTCACTTCCAAGTTTCAAGGTTACCTTGGTATTCATTAAACTCATTCTCTTGGCAGGTACGTCCAAAATAACATAATTTTTTATAAGAAAATCTACCCCAATTATCATATCGCAATCTGTAGGTGCTACGTGCAGTGTTTCTTTGAATGTAAGATGTTGAATTAAAAATTCAGTTGGGTTAGTTATTCTGCATGTCATACGCATGTCCCTTCCTGCACCACGCATGACAGTTTCCCTAATGATATAAGGTTTTTGAGGTAATGCGTCAAAAATACTGTTTTTAATTATAGTAACCTCTGACCCGGTGTCGATCAGAGCATTAACGTGTTTATTCTGGATGTTTACCACACACCAAAACAAATGTGCAGACCCTAATGTGCAAACTGATGCGCCGTTAGTAGATGTTTCTTCTGTTTCATCTTGCACAAAGTTTGTTTCATCAAACTCTACCCTCCTTTCATCTTTAGTACGATTATTTCTTGGTGTCAACTGTTTTGGTTGCTGACCACGTCATTTTGTCTCCTGTCACCCGAATCAAGCCTCCGCCCACGTCCTCGGCCTATATTTACGTCTAGGAGAATAATTTGAAGACCCGTTGTCTCGGTTAGGTGACACCAAACTCAGACTGATTCCTGGTTTGGCTGATTTTTCCTGAACCAAACGGGTGACTGTTGACATTATTTTCTCCATATATTCCTCAATCCTTGAGAGACTTCCTACACCATTGACCTCTGGTGAGTTAGCTGGCTTGTCAGTAGAAGACTTCTCTGTTTCCTTCCCAGGCTTTTTAACAGCATTTACTTTTCCTAGTGTGCTGAAACCATCTTATTATATCTAAAGCAGCACCGATGGTCTTAGGTTTTGATATACATGCCTCAGTTCCTGCCACCTCATCATTGCAACCATGACAAAATCTCATGATAGCCTGTTCAGTCATTAGTTGTTCACTCTATCTGATAAAGGCATTAGTTGCGAGAGACAGGACTATTTTTCTCTTTGGGCACTTGTCTGGAATTGAACCTGTGAGGTTTTGGCAGTTCCTGAAAACCAACTCTCTTATTCATATTGGATATGATGTCAGTGAAACTCGCTGTTTTGTTATTTTCCAGGAGTAGGGTGTAGTATTCAATGGCTGCATCTTCTAAACACCAGCAAAGCTGTTCCCTCTTTTGATCGTCTGTCCACTCTGAAATCTTAGCATAGCCAGAAAACTTGGTATAAAAAGCTTTCCAGTTGCCCTTCCCACTATAACGGAGCGTTCTTGGGATCGAGGACAGAACTTGCCTTTTTTCACTTTTTTCTTTCTTTTTTCTACTTCCATGACTGCTTTTGGAATGTCGCCCATCTGTGTCAGATTCTGCTTGGGAGACCCTCTGCCCTTTTTAGGACTATATCGACAATGGTGTTACGGAGAACTCCTTACACTCCATATTGGTGAGATGTCTCGACGTTGGTTCTCATGAGGTATGTAGTAATCAGGGGCTGACCTTCGCTTATTCCTGGTCTTGCGGTATGCTGAAACATCTGACGTGTCAGATTAATGTATAATTATGACCTGGATCATTTCTGCGTTGCCTCTAATAGTAATCACTATTATAGGGGTATTCCTTTCGTCTTGCTGAAAGTTGGTTGCAATGTGTCTGTGGTGCTCCTGATGGTGGAGGTTGTTGCTGTGTGCCAGACATATGGTGTGACACATGCAATGCATGTAACTGTGGCTGGAAACTACTCATACCTGGAGGCCCTGAAAGGTTAGGCTGACCAAAGGCTGGGTACGTTAAGCAAGACATGTATTGCTTGTAAGTCTGTTAATTTGTTGGTGCCTGTGGCGGTGGTCTACTTCTAGGAGGCTGGAACATTGATGTTGGATGACCAATCATCTTAGGTGGTTGGCTCCTTGATACAAATCTGAGCAGTTGAAACCACGGTTGTTGATAAGTAGCTTGTTGATGAACAACCGCACTAACCTGTTGTTGTTGTGGCTGCCGTTGGGGTAAAGAAAACGGCGCTGCAGCTGGATGTTGTTGTCGTACAGGATGTGCATATAGTTATTGACTCCTAGTTGAAGCTGATCAAACCTTTGTTGTAGGCCGTGTACCTTTTGTTGCATTTGCAAATTTTTTTTAGCTGGTAACAGAGGTTGTTGAACCTTGTTGACACCTGGTTGTTGGTTGGTGGAACCCAAATGATGCTTTTGTAGGTTGGGTAGCTAATGGTGACTTAGTACATTAGTTTGTACGGCTAGTTGTTGACTCTTGTTGACTTCCAGTCAGTGTGGACTGTTGTAGCCATATTGATACTGGTTGAAATCTTGACTGTGTTGAAAAATTGTTTTTTGAAGCTGTGTAACATTTGACGGTGTTGATGGTTGACCCTCAACAACAACTAACTGGTACAGAGGACTATTGATCTCTTGTTGATTGTGATGCTCCTCGTGTTGTACACTTGGTGAAAAGTGAAAAGTGAACATGGTCGGTGTATTTATGAGCCTTGTTTGTTGGTCGTAATTGATGATCAGTGCGGGGCTGTTATATCCCGATGGAGCCTGTTGCAACTCTTTTTTGACGGTTGCGATCCTCCTGTTGATGAACTTCAGAGTGTGGAATACGCCAGTCCTGGCTAAGCGGTGAAAACACTGTGTCATTTTGTTGTTGTTGGCCATCACGGTCCTGTTGACTGTCTTGTTGATCTAGTTGAGAGCGAACAACCATGTTGGTCCTTGGTAAGGGAGTGTGATACTTCCTGTCATCACAAACACTCAGGTACTCGAGCTCTGTGTTCAAAATCTCTGTAGAGAGGCTTCCCTGTGGTGGTTCACAAAGTGACTGCTCTAACATAGTTGAGAGTTCAGACTGACTTGCCAGTTGTTCAAGACTACGTCGCTCCAATGCAGGACTGGAGCACTCTCTATCATCCGAGTCAGATGATGCTACCTCATTTTGTGGATCACATTTCTCTAACCAGTGTCGTATGTTAGAGTTGAATTCGTGCAGATGCGCAATCTGTTTCTGTTCTTCTGTCCGTCTGTCTCTTTGGACAGGGTTATAATGTGATGACTCATTCTCAGGGATGCATAAAATATCTATGTCCTTCAAACTGGCACCATGACACTCCGCTGGGTCCATATCGATAACTATATGATCAGGTTTTGGAGTCGACATACTCACAGAACCTGCTCCTCCACAGCTGTCTTCACTGACCTCAGATCGTGGTCTTGGCGTAAAATCAATTATACCTAGGGTACTCTCTGTCATTCGCAGGTGTGGAAATTTACATAAAACATCCTGATCAATGTGGATACATTTATCCAGCATATCCATGATCCTTGCTGCTATGTCATCCCCTATGTCAGGTATGCAGGTAAGGATTACCTTAGGACAGGCGTTAATCTTGATCATGTACCCCTGACTACTCTGCACAGTATCTTTTTTCATTTTTAATTTATTAAATTTATTTGACTTTATTTCAAAATCAATTGCAAAGCAATATATATTCTATTCAATGTAATGATAGCAACAATAAATCTTTATTAAAAAAAAAGTCAACTTAAAATAATATATACAACGATACAATATACACGCAACAACTTGCGTGTTTGTTTACATACGTAACTACTGAATCTATTGAATACAAGATGACGTCCAAATCTCGAAGCAAAAACCTCGCATGACCTCGCTATCAATTTAGCAAACTTTCAAAAAGTGTTTTTCCTAGTACAAAAAGTATTCAAACACGAAGTAATTTCACTGACTTTTACCTAGAAAGTAAAAAATGGGACCTGGTATGACTCCCTAAGACAAAACTACAAATTACAGGGTTGTCCGTAGGCATCCAAAATTTGGGAGTGATGCCAAGATGGCGTCCAAAACTCCTGCAGGACCAAAGATCAACCCACCCGCATTCCAGTAACGTGTTACTTGGCCTGTCTAGCTCTCTGAAAGGTTTTCACAATATATTTTGAATATCAAACTGGCACTTTGACCCCTCCGTTAACATAGAAGACAAGAAGTCTACCCAAAATCTTTTTGGGGTCATTTGTATCTTTATATTAACTAACTATCTGTATAATTTTATGAAGATTGAGAGATCAGGGGGGTCTATCCATCGCCTTGTGCCGTTTTACCTGAATTTTTGACGATTTTTAGCTGAAAAGTGACAATGTAAACCCTCCGTAGATATCAGAGATAACATTATTCTATAACATCCTTTTAATACGATCTGTATATATTCATAGTCTAAAAGATCATTCAATGTTATGGCCATTGAAAGACCAGGGGGATCCCACCGTTATTTAAGCAGTCTCAGGTAGATTTTCACTTTATATTTTAAATATCAAACTGGCACTTTGAGCCCTCCGTAAACATAGAAGACAAGAAGTCTACACAAATTCCTTTTAGGGTCATTTGTATCTTTATATTAACTAACTCTCTGCATAATTTTATGAAGATTAAGAGATCAGGGGGGGGGGGGGGCTAGCCATCGCCCTGTGCCCTTTTACCTGAATTTTCGACGATTTTTAGCTGAAAAGTGACAATGTAAGCCATCCGTATTTTGATACGATCTGCATATATACATAGTCTAAAAGATCATTCAATTGTATGGCCATTGAAAGACCAGGGGGATCCCACCGTTATTTTAAAGGTCTCCGGTAGATTTTCACTATATATTTTGAATATCAAACTGGCACTTTGAGCCCTCCGTAAACATAGAAGACAAGAAGTCTACCCAAATTCCTTTTGGGGTCATTTGTATCTTTATATTAACTAACTCTCTGCTTAATTTTATGAAGATTGAGAGATTAGGGGGGTTAAGCCATCGCCCTGTGCCCTTTTATCTGAATTTTCGACGATTTTTAGCTGAAAAGTGACTTTTTTTTGGCTTTCCATAATTATTTCTATTTCTATTTTTAACTAATGTTATTAACTAAAAGTGATCGTTAGTTTTTGTTTCTAGAAATATCAAGTATAAAAGTACATCTTTGATTGCATTTTATTGATAAAAATCTATAGTTCATAAAGACAATGGGCAATTTACATAAGTTTATATTTGAGAACAACGGGAATTTAAGACAGCTTGAAGGGGTAATAAAACGATTTCCTAGATATCTTTTTACTCCTTTTATCTATGACTATCATGTTTTAAATGTTATCGAATATTTAGATTTTTATTATTTTCAAGTAAGAAATTTGAATATCGAACCGACTGCTAGCAGCCGGTTGGATATTGAATATCGAATAACGGGAATTTAAGACAGCTTGAAGGGGTAATAAAACGATTTCCTAGATATCTTTTTACTCCTTTTATCTATGACTATGATGTTTTAAATGTTATCGAATATTTAGATTTTTATTATTTTCAAGTAAGAAATTTGAATAACGAACAGGCTGCTAACTTCACATCCATCTCAAATTCATGTATTTAATTTTGATGTTATATTTGTTATTCTCGTCGGATTTTGTCAAATATCTTAACGTCTTTTCTGTTATATTCGTGTGTTATGGTAAAGATAATTAATCACCCCCTTTATTTATTAGATTTTAGTTTGGTTCAACGAAATTTATACGATATATTTGGTTTACAGTTTGATTCAGAAGAAACACCGACATAGCTAGATAATACAATTAATTATCTAATTACTACCACAATTTGATATAACTTATTGTAATTTTCATTGTTATTAATAAATGTAATGTCAGTATTACAAATCTAATCTTGAATCAATCCTAATCCTATCTTATTTTTGGGAAATATTTTTACAAATTCAAATGTGACATCACTTTGTGTGATTTTTTAGAATTTCAAATGTGACGTCACTTTGTGCGTTGAGGCTTTGGCTAACTCGGCTGTGTATTTTTATGTGTTGGATTAAGTTGTTTTATGTAATGTATCCGTTTTTATTCTGTAGTTATTCCCCACTTCGGTTTTATCATGTATATCTATTATATAGTCAATTTATAAAATTTACTGTTTGCAAAATTATAAATTATTCTAAATAATAAGGATGTTCTTGTCCCAGGCAGAAAACCCTGGCCGTGTTAGGCGCAACTTTTTGGAAGTTTTGGTCCTCGGTGCTCTTCAGCTTTGTACTTGTTTTGGCTTTCAAACTTTTTTCATCTGAGCGTCACTGGTTGGTCTTGTGTGGACGAGACGCAAGTCTGGCGTATTGAATTTTAAGCCTAGTACCTTTTGTTTGCTATTATTCGTGTGTTTCTTTGTCCTATATGTTCTCCCATTTATTTGTATTGTGGTCCTTTCACGTGATGTTGTCGTTTTGGTGTTGTGTTTGACGTTGCAATAAAGGCGGGAGGTTTGGCATGCCACAAAACCAGGTTCAACCCACCATTT